GGCCGCTCGCTCACCATGGCGGCCTCCGTGCTCGCCGCGCTGTCCTCACGGCTGCCGGCACCGGGTCACAGCTCAGCACTCGCAACACCACAGCCTTCCTCACTCACGGTCGCCCCGGACTACAGCGTGGGAGACCGGAAGTTCCCGTCTCCGCCTGACTGGAGGCCCTGATTGGCTGCCGAAGCCTGAGTGACAGACATTCTTGTTGTCAATGGACCCCCACACAGTGGTTTTCAGACTGGCCTCCACTGCAAGCACCGAACTCTCCCAGACCTGGAGAGACTGGCACTAGAGCAGAATTTGGGGCTGGGCTGTAAATAAAGTCTCCCCTGAACTCAGCCTGCACTCAGTAGGACTCATTTCTCCGGCATTAGTGAGGTTTTTGCTACGAAACTGAGAAAGGACAAAGGAAACCAGCCCAGCTGTGGAAAACGTGCTGATTTTCATTTTTGTACAAATAAAGTTTCATTTTAAAAAACACACACCAGGAATTTGCTGTCTCTTAAGCTATTATTGTATAGAAACGATCCATCAATATAAATAATTTTAGTGAACTAAACCCTATGGGATCAGTGGGAACTTTTTTGAGTTAATTACGCCACATTTACTATAGAGCCTCAATATTCTGATGACTATGAATATTTTATTGCCTACTTGACATAGGAGCTTCCAGATTTGTTTTCCTCTCAATTCTGCATCATTAGTGAAATTAAGTAAGCCAAATTAAGAATAGTTATTTTTACATCATGCTACAATTGTTGCATTTTCTTTGCAGCCCTGGCTAGACAGGAACTCACTGTGTAGACCAGGCTAGCCTAAAAGTCATAAAGATCACTTTCCCTCTGCTGCGGAGTGCTAAGATTACAGGCCTGCACCCCATGCCTGACACCTATTAATTCTGCACATTTACTAATGAAATAAGCAGAACTAGGTGTGGCATAAAATTGCACTGTCCATAAGACCAGTGTGAGATTTAGAGCAAATGGCAAATGTGCAGCCTCTGACATTCCAGAGTTTTGGACCATAAGTGTCAGTCTTTGTCCTGAGGGCCACATGGGTCTATGGCACCCTGGTCTTCACCCCCATTTCCACAGTCCACTTTTTAGACATCCCTGTCTGGAATCCGCAATGGTGCTGAAGCAGCAGGCAGGAACAGCGGCAATGGGAAGAAGAAGCCTGCCTGGCTGCTTTACTGTGAGCTCCACTGTTTTGGGGATGAATTTTGTCCTGTGTCCTGCTTGCAGGCCCTCCACTGAGCATTCTTGAAAGCCACATTCACACTTGACTGGCACGCTCAGTCTGCCTCAGGTAATGTAGTTTCCCAGGGCTCCTCGTTTCTACCTGAACTTGGAAAACAGCAGGTGGAGTCACGTGCTAATGATTACATAATGGCGGGATGTGGGAGGCACAGAGGTCCTGATAGTCACAGAGAAGCAGTAACGGGACCAGGAAGTGAAGCACCGAGGGCTGTGTGCTCAATGGGAGAGATACTAACCGAATACCTCCATTCCATCCAGAAGGCTGAGAGTGGACTTTGTTAATGACCTGGTGACCTTTCTGCTGTCTGCTGAGCAGACCTCATCCACCTTTCGCTCCACCTTTCGCTATAGAGGCAGAACTCACCGCTCTTCTCCAGAGTGATTACCCCAGAGTCTTTCCTCCCTAGTTCATTGAGCACTGGAGGGGAGACATAACATGCTCTCTACAGCCTGCTGACCTCTATGCTTTCTTGGTCTGAGACACACCCATGGTCACACGTACTTTCTAGAGTCCCTAAGCTTTATAAAGGAGTCGCTTAAGCTTTATTTTTGACATGGAATTGGACTAATTGTTGCCTGGAAACCTTTTCCCAAATTGTACTGTTTTAAATATGCTGACAATGATCTGCCCTGTAATAGTCTCCCCAAAGTCTAATTCAGATTGACTAAGTCAATCTGCACTGGGTATTCATGACTACATGTCTACAAACTTTAGAACACACAGGAACTACAGCAAAAGGAGTCCATGAAGAGGGGCAATAAAGTGTCGTGGATGGCATGGTGGCCACTGCTACTTGACAAGAGTTCCAGCATTTCGACATTGAGGACCACAATTCTCCAGCACCTTTTGACTTTCATTTCTGATGATTCTCACGCTGTATGATGGGAGTTCTCTTATGCCTTTCCCTTTGGGAAACTTTGTGGGGGATTCAGAAGATGAAGACATATATGATGGGCCCCTCTTTAAACAAAATAAATCTTTGGGAAAATTCCCTGCGACTGTGGAACCACATAGCTTGATAATTCTGCCTACTCCCACACAAGATGCTAGAAAATTTATATAAGTAACATGTGCTTGATAAAGAAGGTCTGTTTGAAAATAAGATTTGTTTGATAAATAAGGTGTATTTGATAATCAAGATTCATAAATTCCCAAGGTCTACTCAGGTTCACAGTAATATTTGTCTAGCTTTGTCTTTGCTAACATTAAGCTTTAGCTACTGGAATAAACTAAATGATATTCTATAATGAAGTTTCTGGTCCCCCATGAAAGCGCTTTTCTCAAAGTCGATCATTTAAACAAAAGCTCTCTCTCTCTCTCTCTCTCACACACACACACACACCATTTCCACGAGGGCTTTGAGAAGGCTTCTGCTTGCTAATAAGGAAGTCATTCTCCCTATCTCTGGAAAGAGGAATGTGTGGCCCCTCCATTAACTAAGTCTACAGTGTCTGTTAACTTGTCAGTGCCAGCTCCCTCAATCCCTGCTCATAAGCCCCACCCCAGCTCACAGCCCCCCTCCTCTCATCCCCATTTATTCCTTTGTGAAACTGCAGAGTATAAAGGGTTATAAAGCAGAAGCCATCCTGACTCACTCTCAGATCCTGTCAGTCTCCTTCTTTTCCAACTCCACACCTCCTCTTTTGTACCTGAACCCCCACCCTGGAGGTGGATTCCCTGTCAAATAGCTTTTTGCAAATGGAGAGATAATTTTCTGCTGGACACATTATGGCAGGGCAGGCAGCATAGACTCTGAATCCTTTCAGCTTCCAGGCCAGCCATGTGTGTATGGGACTCACCCTCACTCAGGGTCTGACTGGAACACAGAGCTCTCAGGCTCTGAACACCTGCCAGATCTCATTCCTTCAAATATCCTTTGGGTTACTTCTTGTAGGTAGGGGATTTTGCTTGTATAAAGAACAAGTAGGACATTTCCTTATAATTTCCTTGGTTTGTTGCCATGTGATGGAAAAGTCACTGTAGAATTTGGAAAATTAAAATATGTAAACCACACCATTGATACCTATTAAGTTTTAAATGGGCAACTGCTTTGAGTTCAGAAAAGGCTGATACAGTGATTATATATTTGCTAGAAGTTATGGTTGTCATGGGTATACATTATAAAATTAAGACAATGTTCCAGGATATGTCTCTAAGAAAATAAAACAGGTTTTTGCTTATTATAATATAAAATATATTACAGGTATACCACACAATCCTACAGGACAGACAGTTATAGAACGATCAAATCAAATTCTAAAGGATATGCTAAACAACAGAAAGGGATGATAAAGACCCCCAGAAATCGATTGCATAATGCTTTATTAACTTTGTATTTTCTAAATGCTAATGAGAAAGGAACAACAACTTCAGAGAAACATCGGGTAATAGAAAAAAAAACCGCCGGACGTTGGTGGCACATGCCTTAAATCCCAGCACTTGGGAAGCAGAGGCAGGCAGATCTATATGAGTTAGAGGCCAGTCTGGTCTCCAGAGCGAGTGCCAGGATAGGCTCCAAAGCTACACGGAGAAACCCTGTCTCAAAAAAAAAAAAAAAAGAAAGAAAAGAAAAAAAAAAGAAAGCAAGAAAGAAACAAAGAAAGAAACAAAGAACCACAGAATTAAATCAGCCAGTATACTTTAAAGATGTGTTGACTTAAGAATGGAAACCAGGACATGTGTTACATTGGGGAAGGTGTTTTGCTTTTGTCCACGGGTGAAAAAAGGCTATGGATACCATCAAAATTGATAAAGATTCAATTTAAACAAGAGAGACCTTTTCATTAGAAGACATGATAGTTCATCAAGCAGCATGGCTGTTTAATGTAAACTAACCTATAAAACTAACAAATGTTTCTCACTTCATCAGATATAACTTGCCAAAAGAAGAACCTCCCCAAAATTAGGGTCGGGGAAGAGTTTTGTTTTTGTCTTTTCAGGAGAATAAAGGCATCCAGCTAAGAAATCTGAATACCACTGCACAAATGAGACATGTGAAGAAAAAGGATAAATCATCCAGAAAAAAAAGTCCCAAGAAAAAGAGTAAATTGGCCTATTGGTATATCACCTTCAAACTGGATAAAATTTCATAAATCTTCCCAAGTGTTTGTTTCTGCTTTTCTCTAAAGACATATAATGAAAATAGTCTTTTGTAGGCTCAGTCCAATTAAAGATTTAAGCTAGCTTTGGAGATGGAGTGTGGCTCTCTCCTTCTCTAAACCCAAGCATGCTTGTTAAAGTAAAATCCAAACTCTGTCTCATATTAGAAGAGCCACCTGATATAGGACAGAAGAAAAACAAACATTACAGGATTATTGTATTGTCACTAATCTCATAATCATTTGGTTTTACTTTGACTCACTGAAGCTTTTCTTGAGGTATATTGTTGAAAAACTTATAAGATCAATGTGTGTGTGTGTGTGTGTGTGTGTGTGTGTGTGTGTGTGTGGGTGTGTGTGTTTTAGAGTGCCATGATTTTAATGGCCATATAGTATGGGTGCACAGATCAAGATTCACAGGACTAGGCTCAATATAGGTTAACATAATTTTATTCAGGGAGAAGGCACTTACACGAAAAACAGATGACTGCCGCAAGATCCAGTGCCAAGGATCCACCCAGGCTGCTCTCTGTGACCCGATGGGGAGGAAGGGAGCAATCTGGACTCAGGAGCCCAGACCTAGTCCTACTATCCATCATGTCCGCACCTGTGACAGGTTACAGGTGCAGGGGTTGGATATCTCACTACAATTCCTCTTTTAGTCTAAAAAACAGGATTTAGGCTTGATACAAAACTATATACAAAGATAGCAAATATCAAGTATGCTCTAGGGAAGGAAATGTAAGAACATACACACTTAAGACCTATTGCCAGTGAAGCAAAAAGAGCAAGTGGCAAGAACTACATACAATATAGATTACCAATTCTACAAAAAGGTTTCATCTACCTTCCTGTTCATGATTTTGGGTATGAGTCTCTATCAGTTTTCTGCAGTGAGCCATGAATACGCCTAACAGCAACCTTTGACATCTCCAATGGAGAATGGAACCGTACAATGACAATTCTACCAGGACTATAACAACCACTAAGCTGCCAAACATCACCTATAGATCGGCTCTGGCCTACAAACTGCTCAGAACACTTTTGAGGTGGCTTGCTGAGATGACCTAGCCTCACAGACTACTCTAACCAGGACTTGAGACAAGCCCTACACTTTCCCATTACATGGAGACTGGACAACAAATGACATAGCTACCTTTCCTGGGACTTGACAATTAACCCAAATTTTTTTTCAGGATCTCCCTAAAGAGGCTGTCACCCCCAGAGAGTAGGAAGTAAATTTAAGAACATGATGCCCACATTCCCAAGATGTGGGGTGGGTGTTTTTGGCCATTCAATAGGTTATGGATATTTGTCATTATTTAGGAGAATTGGTTAAAGTTGTTATTGGTAATGCTCAGAAAAAAAAAGCTAAACAAAGCAGACTAGATTAAGGGTTCTTGTTCTGAAAAGAAAAAGGGGGATAGAGGTATGATAGGATAAAAAAAGGGAAGATTACTAAATCTACTTTTAAAAAGATTTATTTATTTATGTATATGAGTATTCTGTCTTCCTGTACATCTGCATGATAGAAGAGGGGATTATATCCCATTATAGATGGTTGTGAGCCACCGAGTGGGTGCTGGGAATTGAATTCAGGTCCTCCAGAAGAACAGCCAGTGCTCTTAACCACTGAGCCATCTCTCCAGCTCCCTGAATCTACTTTTAAAAAGCAAATACTAGTTTTAAATATTTTACATTGGATTGGATTTTTGTATATTATATACAAATTTTGTATATTGATACAAAATGGATGGAGGTTGGGTGGGGAGGTGGGGGAGAACAAGAGGATAGGAGGGAGAGGGAAATAGGATTGGTACGTAAAAGAAGATTGTTTTGAAAATATAAAAAATTTATGGTGGGATGCCATGCTCTGCCTTAATGTGTCAGACTTTGGTGACTCCTCTTGGGAGCCCGAACCCGTGAGAACTGTACTAGGGGTGGAATGGGAGAAGGCAAGGAGCAAGAGGAGGGGTGGGAGGGAGAACTGTAGTTGGAATGTAAAATGAAATTGAAAAGAATGAATAAACTTTTTTAAGTGTTAGCTGCTATGGAGGTATCACTCTTTGTGTGAAGGGACATGTAGGGTGGCTTCAATAATTACTAGAAGGAAAATGAGTTTGTTTCAAAATAAAAATATTAAATGTTTTTAAAAAACCAACTTCCAATATGCCATCAACATCACAATGATCCATCCAGGAGTGTAAGCTCACTGTAAAAGGTAAACATAACCAGTGTGGAACACAGAGTGATGGCAAGAATGGGGCTGATGGGTTCAGAAGAAAGTTTGAGCTTCTGGATCCAAAACTCCATTATGGCAATAAACAAGAGTGCAATGCCATACTTAAAGAATTCAGGGAATGTTGTGTCTCAGGGATAATGACCATGCACAGAAAGCCCATGATTGGGCCAGGCGTTGGTGGCACACGCCTTTAATCCTAGCACTCGGGAGGCAGAGGCAGGCAGATCTCTGTGGGTTCGAGGCCTGTCTGGTCTACAGATTGAGTTCCAGGATAGGCTTCAAAGCTACACAGAGAAACCCCGTCTCGAAAAACCAAAAAAGAAAAAGAAAAGCCCATGGTTTTTTCTAGAGATAGTTTAAAAAGGTTCTAGCCTTCTGGAGTATGCAGAAGATGTGGCAAAGGCTGACATCCAACTGATGAATGCATATCATCAAAGGGCAGACAAGATAACACTTTGTCATTGGGAAATGCCTTGAGCAGGCCTGCTGGAGGCCTCAATATCAATTTGACCCGATCATTCCCTGTCAGCATAAAGACTCCCTAGAACTGTAACTATCTAGTCTTCAACTCCCTCAGAGACCCAAGAAGGAAGTAACACTGAGTAAGCAGAAGTGCAAGCAAGCAACATTGGGAAGTTGTAACCTGTGAGGTGTTGCAGAGTAATGGGAATCAGAGGGAGAGTTTAGGGAGTTATGGCATGCTGGGGTCAGCCGGCCACCACTGGGAAGGTCCCAGGCTGGTCTCCCAGTACATGATGAGTCCCTGCAGGCTAGGGAAGGTGGTCCCTGATGAAAGGTTCAGGCTTTAATGCTGATTGGCTCTACCTCTTTAAGAGACAGACCCCGCCCCCTGACAACAGTCAGGGCATGAATAGGGATGTGCCATCACCACATCACTGGCCACCCGCATTATGGCCTGAGTGAGGACTCTGCACATGCATGGAACCTCAGTGCACATGCGCAGTCTTCCCTTTAAAAGTTCCAAATTCCCTGCTTCAATCTCTCTTCTCTCTTAGTCTCTCTACTCTGCCAAGCCTATAATAAACTGGTTAATATGCCTCTTAGTCTCATGTCTCATCTTGCCCCTCTTTATTTCTAATTTAAGCAAAAGAATAACACCTGAGGCTTGAGCTTGCAGAGGCAAATGATGAAGACTTAACGGCTGTGCTGTGTCTTCAACAACCCTGGGCCTGCATCAGCTACATCTATAGCAACCTCTGCACCTAAATCAATACTCTTCAATGGTCACAGATGGCTGAAGTAGGGACATGTCCCTGAGGCACTGTAGCAAGGCTGGATTCAGCAAGCTATCCCTCTCTGTACAGCAACTGCTCTATGTCCCATCGCCAAAATGTGCTCCATAGAGCCAGTAGTATCTCCATTCTCTGCAGCAAGACTGTCAGCACCTCCTCTTCCTCGGAGCTAACCCAGATAGCCTGCTGCACCTTCAAAGCCTCCTGTAGCATAAGCGGCAGGAGCTTCATGAGCAGCTACCCTGAGCCATGGAGCAACTAGCGACCTCTTCACTGGGCTACATAGTACAGAGTCTCAGATTCAGGATAGGAGCTGACCTGACTCAGAACTTGTTTTTGTATACCTCGGGTGCTGAAAAAGTTCCTTATATTTTTAAATATTTGGGGAAGAAAAAATCCACAGAAAGAATTAGTGACCCATGAAATGATTCCAGATCATATTTTGATGTTCATCAAATCTTGTCATCCAGATGTTCATCAAATCTTGCCATCCAGATTGGGCTCTTCGGGAGGGAAATATTCAGGTTCTACAGATTCAAACTTGATCTCAGGTAAAACAATGTGCAAAATGGGTCGAGTGTATAGGGCCAGAAGGATAAGAAAATTAAAGCAATATGTAGGTAATACAGCCATGAACATGAATTCATGGTTTGTTTTTTGTTTTGTTTTTTTTTTTTTTTTTTTGCAGCAATGAAAAACACAAATTGTTTTAAGGACTCACAGCCCTGTCTTCTCACAATCCACAGCAAATACTTTGTCTATTTGCCCCTTCATAGAAAGCCATCACGACTCGTCTCTTCTTAGGGTGTCTGCTGATACATCTTGGGGAACACTGGAGTCAGGAGTCTTTGCCATGCCCAATAACCCATTAAGTCAATTTGGGTTATAATATCAATTTATGGGATGCCCAATTTTGACCTGGGACCTCCACACATGCACATTCACACAAACAATACACCAAGGGCCAGTAAGATGATTCTGGTGCTAAAGACACTTGCTGCCAAGCCTGTTTTCTTCCTGAGATCCAGCCCCAGGATCCACATGATTAAAGGAGAAAATGGATGTAGCTGTTTTTTGTTTTGTTTTTTGAGACAGGGTTTCTCTGTGGCTTTGGAGGCTGTCCACTAGCTCTTGTAGACCAGGCTGGTCTCGAACTCACAGAAAGAGATCAACCTGCTTCTGCTTCCTGAGTGCTGGGACTAAAGGTGTACGCCACTACCACCTGGCAAGCTGGAGCTTTTCTGTCCCACCTGCCAGTCCTACAGCTGCTTATAAAATAATCACTCAGAGGATTAATATTATAATTGTTTAGCTGATGGCTCAGGCATATTACTAGTTAGCTCTTACATATAAGTTAAGCCATTTCTATTAATCTGTATAACGTCATGTGGCTCATGGCTTACCAGTAATGCTCTAGCATCTTACTCCTCTGGCAGCTGATGACAGCTCTCTCAACTCTGCCTTCTTTTCCCCTGCATTTAGTTTGGCTTTCCTGCCTAGCTACATTCTGCCCTGCCAAAAGCCAAAGAAGCTTTATTCATCAACCAATAAAAGCAACACACATTCACAGCATACAGAAGAACATCCCACATTAAATGGATTCATGTAAGTTGTCCTCTGACCTCCACACATGCATGCCCTCACCCCTACATTAACAAATACATGCAATCTTAAAAGCTTTATTAGGGTACATACACATGGGAAACTTGGGTTCAAATCCTGGCTTATGAACCATTTTACTGCTTTGTGACTTTGTGAAAGTGGCTTCACTTCCCTGTGCCTATTAAGAGGGATGTATGTGTACCAGATTTCTTACCATGGTTTCAATAACCAGTTGGAGCATCAATACCCAGAACTGCTCTAACCAAGAATCTCTTGCTCTGTGCCTCAGTTTCTCACATGAGAAGTGAGAGATTCTTCAATTATTTTGTAATCACAGCTTAGTGTGCCTCAACAATAAGGGAAAGCTCCTTTTTATCATTCTCCTTGTCCTTGTCCAGGAACTCCTAGGCACAGCTTTGGCCCTGGCATGTCCACTTGCCCTCTATGAGGCCAGTGAAGCTTTAGCAGAGTCAAGACCAGGTGGGCCTCAATAGTGTATATGCCTTACACTGCATTTGTGGCCTTAGCCCACATAAGACTCCTTGGACATTTAGACCCCAAAAAAAGATTAGGTCCAGGCCTTCTTCCCATCCTTCCACACTAAACTAAGGTATTCCACCTCAAGGAAGGTTCTGGATTCCAAACTGACCCTAAGAACATTCTGATCCTGTCATACACCTCTGGCAATTAGTGGTGTGTCCCCAGACACATAATTAAGCCTCTCTGTGCTCTGCCTTGCCCACTCAGTAGTCCAGCCCTGTTCTCCAGGTACTTAGGCGACTAAAGTCAAGGGGCAGAATTCAAGGGCTACAGTATGAGTTCTAGGCCAGCCTAGGCAACTGAGACAGACTCTATATCAAAACACACATACAATTTCTTTTAACAGAAGCTTTCATTTGTTTGCAATTTTTGTTTCTTTTTGGGACAGGGGCTCAGTGTGGACCTGCTTATGAACAACTCAGCTACATGAATGTTCTCATATCAGATGGCCCTCATTGAATAGAATGCTTGCTCAAGCATACACAAGGCCTCAGCAGAAACAGCATGGTAGTGAAACATGTCACCCCAGTAGGAGGAGGAAGCAGAAAGGTCATGAGTTTAAGATCAGCCTACATTTCATGAGCCTATTTTAAAAATAAAGCCCCAAAACAATGATTAACAAAAATTATCAGGGCTCAGTGGACATTATGGCATGGCTCAGCAGGTAAAGGTTCTTACAGCCAAGACTGATGGATGTGATTTTGTTCTTAGGACCCAAATGATAGAAAGGGAGAACTGGGTTCCTTCCACAGGTTGTCATCTGATTTCAAACTATACTATGCATGTGCACAAAGACAATAATAACTAATTAAATCTTAAAGGAAAAAGTGGTAAGAGATGGTTTAGCAGTTTAGTACTTGGCATAGATTGTATGGCAACCATTGCTGTATGATAAAGTTCCAGCATTTCGGCATTGCAGATCTTAATTCTCCAGCATCCTCAGCCCTATCTCTCTCTCCAATACCTGCAAGTTCCTGAGAAAAGTGTCAAGCCCAACCCGCAGGGGCCCTTGCACCATCTTCAAGAATACCAACCAGGTAAGAACTGGCAGGTTAACTTAACCCACATGTCCACTCCTAAAAAACTCCATTATCTCCTAACTTGTTGACACTTTTATAGGATAGATGGAGGCATTTCCTACTTCCAGAGAAACAGCAGATGTGATGGCTCAGGTGTTCCTGAAGAACATGTCATCCCTCAATTTGGTGTGCCATCTCCCCAGGCTCCTGGGATTTCAATGCTGGTACCACCTCTCCAGGCTCAAGAGGGTACCTATCCAGAAACTGGGACCTGGCTTTCCAAATGTCCCAATGAAGGGCATATCTGCTCTCCTGTACTGTTCATCTACCCATGTCTCTTTCATATAACCAGGCCATTTCTCTGTTCCATCATTCCTGGAAGTCTTCCCTCTTCCCGTGGCTAGCCCCATTCATAGGACCAGTATTAATAATCGATTTTTCAATCCTAGCAACCTGCCTTTTCTGCTGCAAGTAACAGGTGCCTGAGGTCTCCAGAGTGGAAGTTAACCAAAGCTTCTTGACCCATACTTCCCACTGAGCATGAGCCCATGCACACTCACCTCCCCACATTGTCCCAGGCATGCAAGAAGTAGCCAGACTTAACCCAGCACCCACATACCCAGAGAGTCTGGAAAGCCCTAAGAAAGCCCACCAAGGGTCAGCTCCTCCCTTGGAGTTGCTCAAGACCATGCCTACAGGGTATTTAAGACCTGGTGTCAGACCTGCCATGATTTCTCTCCTGCCTGAGAGTCACCGGGGGAGTTCTCTGTTCTGCTTTGCTATTAAATCTGGTCTTACTAATTTGGTTTAATTGGGCTTATAGTATCAGTAAAAGATACCAAATAACTGGGGATCCAATACTTACCACACACTATATGTTATAAAGTTTCCTTAAGCATTTTCCTGTGGGAAATTCTTTGCAAGCTTCAGTGGAGGATGGGGATATAAACAATGGCAGTCGCTTTAATTAAAATTCTTGGGGGAAAAAAGTCTACCACCACAGAAACACATAGTGTGATAGCCATGCCTACTCCCACCCAAGAATCCCCATTGTGTCCTCTTGATTGCACCAAGGATAAAGATCTTAAAGATTTACTAACTGGACACACCTAATCTCAAGGAGGAAAGCACACTATGAAAGGAAACAATGGGCTTACATCCAGAGAGGCATTTAGATACTTGCTAAATTTATCACTTTTTGCCTCAGGAAAATGTGATGAGTTTGACAGCTGTTTTCATCCTGGAATCATTAAGTCTGCTTTCAGTCTTGCTTGAGTCTAAACTAATGAGATGGAGGATATCCTTCTGTATATATGTTTCTCTTATTGGTTGATAAATAAAACACTGTTTGGCCAATAGAGGCAGGAAGATAAGCGAGACTAGGAGACAAAAATTCTGGGAAAAATAGGCATAGAAAGACCATGAAGAGACAACATGTAGAGACAGGGAGGATAGGACGTGCCAGGCATTCTCTGGTAAGATAAAGCCATGTAGAAATACATAGAACAGTAGTTATGGTTAATAATTAAGACAGAGCTAGCCAATAAGAAGCCCTAGATACTGGCCAACAGTTTTGTAACTAATATAGCATCTGTATGCTTTGTTGGGACTGAAAGGGCGGTAGGACCAGCTAGAAAGAAAAACTCCAGCAACACTAATGTTCATTTATAGAGTATAAAAGGTGGTCTTTTTCAACAAAGCAGCAGCTGTCCCGGATTCACTCTCAGATATGGCAGGCTCCTTCCTTTGCTGACACCTGATTTCCTCTTTGGGACCTGAACCCCTATGAACCTGGACTCCAGCAAGAGTAGAAAACACAGTTCAGTTTCCAGCACCCACATGGCAGCTCACTTCTGAAATTACTACATTGATTACATCCATATGGTACTGTCTAGTATGAATTCGTTTGTGACTAAGAAGATGACTCTTTGTTGCAAAGGCTTTATCACATTGATTACATGCATAAGGTTTCTCTCCAGTATGAATTCTTTCATGGCTGAGAAGATACTTCTTCAGTGCAAAGGATTTAGCACACTGATTGCATTCATAAGGCCTCTCTCCAGTATGATTTCTTTCATGACCAAGAAGATTCTTCTTTGCTGCAAAGGCTTTACCACACTGATTACATTCATAGGGTTTCTTATCAGTATGAATTATTTCATGCCTATGAAGACTACTCTTCTGAACAAAGGCTTTACCACATTGATTACATGCATAGGGTTTCTCTCCAGTATGAATTCTTTCATGACTTTGAAGACTACTCTTCTGTGCAAAGGTTTTACCACATTGATTACATCCATAGGGTTTCTCGCCACTATGACTTCTTTCATGACTGTGAAGATTACTCTTCTGTGCAAAGGCTTTACCACATTCATTACATTCATAGGGTTTCTCTCCACTATGATTTCTTTCATGACTGAGAAGATGACTCTTCTGTGCAAACGCTTTACCACATTGATTACATTCATAAGGTTTCTCTCCAGTATGAATTCTTTCATGACTAAGAAGATTACTCTTCCTTGCAAAGGCTTTGCCACATTGATTACATGCATAGGGTTTCTCTCCAGTATGAATTCTTTCATGACTAAGAAGATTACTCTTCCTTGCAAAGGCTTTGCCACATTGATTACATGCATAGGGTTTCTCTCCAGTATGAATTCTTTCATGACTGAGAAGCTTATACTTCTCTGCAAAAGCTTTACCACATTGATTACATACATAGGGTTTCTCTCCAGTATGACTTCTTTGATGACAGAGAAGATTCTTCTTCAGTGAAAAGGCTTTACCACATTGATTACAGCCATAGGGTTTCTCTCCAGTATGACTTCTTAGATGAGTAAGAAGATGACTTTTATGCGCAAAGGCTTTACCACACTGATTGCATTCATAGGGTTTCTCTCCAGTATGACGTCTATTATATATTTGAAGATAAGTGGGACATGCAAAGGCTTTATAACTTTGATTATACTCATAGGGTTTTCCTTCCAAATGAGTTTTTTGGTGTACTTTCAAAGAGGAATCAGATCCAAAGGCTTTATCATATTGATTACATATACAGAGATCCTCTTCCTTATTGGTTGTGTTGTGTATTTGAAGACGCCTGCAATGGCTAAAGCCTTTAGTAGATGGCTCACATTTACTATTTTCTCTGCCCACATGAGTTTTTTCACATCTCTGAAGAGAACTTGAAGAACTCAGAGTTTGACCACATTGATTACAATTGTAACATTTTCTTATACTGTGAGTCAAACTACATGTGCACAGTGAACCAGTACAGAGAGATGAATTTCCATATTCCTGGTACTCATAAGGTTTTTCTCCAGTGAGAATTTCTTGATGTGTTCCCACAGAAGTTAGAAAACCACTTAACTGTAAACTTGTACCACAGTCGTCATGTCTTCTCATGTTGGGGACTACTAAAGAACTCCCATTTTTTCTGAGAGAGACAGAAGTACAATGCTTATTTCCATACCCCTTATGCTCATAGGGCTTATATCCAGAGTGACAGATGACATACCTGGTAGAGGAAGATAACAAATAAGAAGTTTTCACATTCACAAAGTCAAGCATTTCATGTCACATACAGATGTGGTATAGAGATTCAGGTTTCTACACCATGTTCTCTCATAAAGTGCTCCTCTCACTAAACTGTGGTAAGTCACTCACAAAGTATATGAGGAACACTAGCTTTAATATGGAACATTTGCTTATAAAAGGTCTCGGACATACAGTAATCACCTTATCAATGTGTATACCTTATATGACAATTGAATGGTGTGACACTAAGTAGATGAATAGTTCTACAACATGCAGATTCAAACTATGACATCTATTAGGGCATTGCTTCTTTGTCTTGTCCTTAAAGAAATGCTTTGCAGAGCCAAAGATGGAGCCGAGGCGACCTGAGCGAAGGTTGCGGTAAACCCAGGTGCGGGAGAACCTGGGCAAGCACTGGCGACTGGGAGGAGGGCATACGGTGCCCTTCATCCCTTGGAGTGTCCAAGATGGAAAATCATAAAGTGCTATCAAAGATGATTTAATATTAAATATCATATCCAGAAAAGTTAAACAACTTCCAGAGTCAGAAAGGAATCTGCTTGAACTGGATCAGCATATGTTGGACTTAATGCTGGTTTCAGTGGCCTCATAGCAAACAGTCTTTTTCGGCACATCTTGCATGTGACACAGGCTCGACTAGCTTCCAGCTTACCCACGGCCGTGATGCCTTTTTTGACAGCGACCCTGACATGTAAATTTTGTAAGTTACCCTTTGAGTACAGGTGATCTGAACTGTGAGACCTGTACCATGACCCGGGGCGCACTAGTTGGTTTTGGTCTGAGTGGTGTATACCCTATCCTTTTGGCTATACCTATGAATGGGGGCCTTGCTGCCAGGTATGAATCAAGCCCTCTACCACGGAGAGGAAACATCTTAAATTACTGGATTACAGTTTCTACGCCTGTCTGCAGAAAGATGGTATTTCCCATTCTACTTCAGACTGTGTTTGCAGCCTACCTTGAGTCTAGACTATATAGACTACTCATAAAAGCCCGTCAGCTATTTGAACCTGGCTTAGAAAATTCACTGATTTGAAGCAAATATGTACAACAAAAATAAAATGGTGAAAATAAAAAAAAGAAATGCTTTGCAAATGGTGATCAGCTACCTGACATTGAAGTACATGGTACCATGAGAATTTAATAATCATCACAAACCTATGCTTATTTACACCATTGCTTTTCATTCAAAGTTGAGGGTATAATAACATTTCTTCAGACATACATATATATCAACTTGCACATGAAAATTACCTTCCATTTCTTCTGGACCTCTGGCAATGTTCTTCAATATTGTGGTCTCCCCATTTGTACCCTACAACACAGTACCAGAAATTGTATGTATATATTGTTGGAAATTAGACACAGTTAAAATTAGTCTTTCATGAATCTTAGTACCATGCCTGATTTGTCCACCAGATTCTTCCCCTTCCATATTCAAGATCACAAAAGAGCACCAATGTCCATGAAAAGTGTGTCCCCTTAAGTTAAAAGGTGACAGGAAGCTCACATTCTCACCTATGGAAGTGAGGCTCCAGTAGGTTTCCAGCATCACATCTTTGTAGAGATTCTTCTGAGAAAGATCCAGCAAAGCCCACTCTTCATGAGTGAAGTTCACATGAACATCCTCATAGGTCACTGCATCCTAAAATGTCCCATATATGTTCATAATTAAAATGGTGAGACTGACTGGAATGCAGATGTACACTTCATTGAGAATATATTTACAAAACTCTGTGTGCTCTGATACATTCTATGGCATGGGTGTTGTAGAAAATTATTTTAAGATGTGTTACTTTTGTATACGCTGCATTTGTGTAACTCTGTGAAGCTATGATTCTTTGCCTGTCTAAAACACCTGGTAGTCTAATAAACATCTGGACAGTCAATAGTGAGGCAAAAGAAAAATAGGCAGGGATAGCAGGCAACAAGTAGAAACAGGAGGAGAAAAGGAGAAAGAAAGAAAGAAAGAAAGAAAGAAAGAAAGAAAGAAAGAAAGAAAGAAAGAGAAAAGAAGGAAGGAAGGAAGGAAAAGAAAAGAAAGAAAGAGGAGCGAGAAAAGGAGAAGAGGACATCAGGGACCAGCTGCCCAGCCACCAGCCAGCCACAGAGTAAGAGTGAAAATAAGATATACAGAAGTCAGAAAAGGAAAATGTACAGAGGCAAAAGGTAGTCCGGATAAATAAGTTAAGAAAAACTAGCTAGAGGGGCTGGAGAGATGGCTTAGAGGTTAAGAGCACCATCTGCTCTTCCAGAGGTCCTGAGTTCAATTCCCAGCAACCACATGGTGGCTCACAACCATCCGTTATGAGATCTGGTGCCCTCTTCTGGTGTGCAGATATACATGGAAGCAGAATGTTGTATACATAATAAATAAAATTTAAAAAAAAAACTAGCTAGAAATAAACCAAGCTAAGGTCGGGCATTCATAACAAAGACTAAGACTCCGTGTGTGATTTATTTGGGATCTGGATGGCATTCCCCCCCCCCCCGCCAAAAATAATAAGAGCTCTGTCATTTCTAGAATTTTGGAAGTTGATACAACTTGACAGTTAACCCAATTTTTTTTTTCAGGATCCCCTAAAGATGCCATCACCCCCAGACAGCAGAAAGTAACTTTAAGAACACAATGCCCACATTCCCAAGAGCAGAGGTGAGTGGTTTTGGTCACTCATTGGATTATGAATATTTGTCATTGTTTAGGGGGATTGGTTACAAAATGGTGTTGGTCACAGTCGGGAAGAAAGTTGAATTTAGGGGATTAGATTCAAGGATTTTGTTTTGAAAAAAAAAAAGAGAGGATACAGATAGGATAAAAGTGAATCTACTCTGAAAAGAAAAAATGGAGGATATATATTTAATAAGATAAAAAGGTAGATTATTAAATCTACTCTTAAAAGGTAACTACTAGTTTTCAATATCTTACATTGGATTAGACTTTGTATATTGTATACAAATATTGTATATTGATAAATTTGAAATTAATTGGTTAAAACATACTGTACATACATTTCTAATGTTGTTCAAGGTATTGTACCTATATAGCTCATTTAACAATGTAATGCAAATTTCTAGTCCTTGAAAGTTATTATTTTCAACTGTGTAAGATAATAAGGAAATACAGGTTAGTAATTGGTCACCTATTACAATCAAACTTGTAGCCACAATAGTTATGTTTTCAAGGTCAGAGATATGTTTTAGATAGATAGATCATCTTCAAACACATCAGAGATCTACAGAATACAGTATTTAAAATGTTTTAATAGCATAAGTTTTTTTTTTTATGACAATGAGACATGTCTGCTCCTGGCAGCACCAATCTACATAAAAGAAGATGATAAGCATCAAAAAAAACCTCCACATGGAGTTTACTTTCTTTGTGACAAAAGTTAGCCACTTGGCAAGAATGTGTCCTTGACTCAACTGCTGGCAGTATGCTGTCCCAATTGGACAACCAGGACATAAAAAGGAGTGACTGCAAACCTTGCCAAGACAAGGTGGGACAGTCCCTCAGAATATCCTGCTTCACAGAAATGTCTGTCACATATGCTAGGCCTATAAGTCAAAGATGGATGCCCCAACTTTGCAGAAGAACCCTGGGTGACTGTCCAGGCAGTCAGCTGTTTTTATCATTTCTCACAGTTTTTGGAACTCGATTGCTTGAACGTTCTGCCAGACTCAGAAAGGAAACTCACTAAAGATATGTAAAGTGTAAAAATTTAAGAGACATTAAAAGATAACTTCATAATGCAAATTAGAATAGAAAGTAAATTAGCTACTAGATTCTGGCCTATGGGGAACAGGAAATACTTGCAGACTCAGACCCTAAGCCACACGAAGGGACCCTGAGGATGGACTTAATCATGCCCAGCCAGAATAGGCCAGGATTGCTGGTTATGTTTAGACACCTGGTCCCTGTTATAATCCATAAGGATAGGAATTAACCAGACTGTCAGCCCATTGACTGACAAAACTCACTGTGACTGGGGACAACCCAAATTAAAGTACTGCTTGATGGGTTAATTCATCAGAATAACAACAATATTACTGAGTCCCTGGGTCTGCTTGGTAGGCATGTACCAATGGTTTGACTAAATGTGTCTCTTCTGATGCTTAGCATACTAAGTAGACAGGCTGATCAGGACCTGATGGTATTAAAGGATTCCATTTCTGAATTAAAACAGTAGTCAGATTCCCTTATAAAAACACATGATCGTACAAAATTGAAAAGGCTTAGACTTACTTCTCATAAGATGAAGGAAACTATACCATGTATGACTTTGGGGGGTGAGGAGGTGTTGATCCTATGCTAATTGATCAGGAGTAATTTGAAAAAAAAACATTGCCAAGGTTGACAGAATAATTGATACCAGTCTCTGTTCTCCTTGAACCACTGGCTAATACTCTGATACTCTGCTATCAGCACTGCCTGGGCATTTAATTCTAATTCTGATTAGATTAATGGTAGAGCACTGCATTGTGATATTTTCTTTGTGCTCTAACAAATAAAGTTTGCCTGAAGATCAGAGGGTGGAGCTAGCCACTAGTTAACCATAGAGGCCAGGCAGTGGTGGTACACACCTTTGATCCCAGCACTTGGGATCTCAGGCCTTTGATCCCAGCACTAGGAAGGTGGAGATAGGAATATAAGGCAGGTGGAGACGTGATCTCTTGCTCATTCAGACTGAGGATTTGTAGAGACAAGAGCTCAAGTCCTTCCATCTGAGGATTCAGTAGAGGTAAGAAGTCTTTCTAGTGGCTGGCTCCTTTACTTCTCTGCTTTCAGCATTTCCCCCAATATCTGACTCCATTTTTTTTTATTATTAAGACCAATTAGAATTCATGCTACACTACATTTTAACTAAAACAGGATAAGTCCATGATTTGATTCATTAACTCAGTTCAGTGGGGAATGTAACAGGCCCAAGTCCTTAGTAGGCCCCCAGACCTTAGCACAATGGACTCCATGATGGAAGTGCCATTCAGGATGTAAAACTCAGCACATAGACAGTACCACCTGCCAAAAGAAAACAAATGCCTAATCCATCAAAGTGGATATTTATAGTAAGTCTCTAAATGGAATAACCTTGTTTTTTAGTCTGTAGTTCAGCTTCTGGACAACTGTTCTTGTTAAATAAGCTTGTCAACCTAGAACATGGTTTTTGTGTTTAAAAGCTCATCTGAAAAGGTCTCTGGGCTACATTGCGATCCAGAACAGCCAGTGTAGGTGCAGGCCAGATAATAAAGACTTTCTGTTGCCTTAAACCCACGTCCCAGCAGTCTTCTCTGGTGAATGCCCACAACAAGAACCTCATAAACTTTCTCCATAATTGACCACATACTCAGACACAAAACAAGTCTCAACAGATACAAGAAAACTGAAATAAATTCCCGAATCCTATCACACAACCACAGGTTAAAGCTGGATGTCAAAAATAGCTAAAGCATCAAAAAGCTTACAAACTGAACCTCAACACCTCTCTTAATGAATGAAAAATGGGTCAAGATAGAAATAAAGAAAGAAATAAAAGACTTTCTAGTGGTAACCATGCCACAGACTGAATGCTTTCTGAAGACATCAGTCCATGGGGCTGGAGAGATGGCTCAGCAGTTAAGAGCACTGGCAGCTCTTCTGGAGGTCCTGAGTTCCATTCCCAGCACCCATATGGTGGCTCACAGCCATCTGTAGTGAGATCTAATTTCCTCACCTGGAATAAAGGCATACATTCAGATGGAGCACTCATATATATAAAATAAATAGTCGTTCTCTTCTTGAAAGGAGGCATCACAGTGGGCAGGCATGGGACTGATACAAAGGCAGGCAGGCAGAAGGAAATGCTTGCCTTGCACTGGTCTTTTGAAACCTCAAAGCTAACCCACACTGACACACCTATACAAACAAGACACACCTACTCCCACAAGGGCATACCCGTCAAGGAGCGGGTGTTAGGCTCACATGAGTCCTTGGAAAGAAGACTCTAGAGACACCTAAGAATGAATTTAGCCTTTCGAGGCTGAAGGGAGATTCAGTCTGGATGGACTGAAGCCTTTCCCTTCACCCAGGACATTTTTATTTTTCTCAATATTTACACTTTAGCCAGTTAATTAACATATGTTCAAAAAATCTGAATGAAGCTTCCAAAAATACAATGCCAAGTGCAAATTCTTGACTCATCAGGTACCACAGTTTTCTAAGTTTCCCAAATCAAGTTTGGCATAGGCTTTGTATCCTTGGGAAACTCAGACAAGATTCACATAGAGCAACAAGAGAAACAAGGTTATCTGCTAATCAAAAGATGGATTAGGTCTAGGTGCTAACACTCTGCAGCCAGGCCACGTGTAGCCCAGCAGGAACACTGCCACACATACCTCCTTATTTTACACAATTACTTCCACTAATTGGGAACCAAGCATTCAAAGATAGGATCCAGAGAGTGTTGAGCAAATATAAACCATGACAGGAATACAACCTAAGAAGAAAGAGAACTATAGGAAAAAGAGTGTATGATATTAAGGCAAACAGAGAGAGGAAGAGGGAAAATATTAAACAATTCAAAGCCTCCAAACTTAGCCTTCAGTCCATATCTTTTCTCTGAGAACATGGCATTATATCTTGTTTCCCTCCCTACCTACTTGCTTCAGAGAACCTGAGAAACCTTGGATCAGGTCTGGTGGAAGCGACGAAGGCAGTCAGTCTCCTGGTGTGCTTGACTGTATCAGTTGTAGATGATGCCATCCTGAAGCTGTGTTTCTAAGTGGGTAGATGGGACACACAAAGCTACAAAAGTCTTAAATTTTATTCAACTTTTTTACCTTTTTCTAGAAAGGACTTCTCTGTGTAGCCCTGGCAGCCCTGGAACTCCCTCTTGCAGGCTAACCTCTGCCTCCCAATTGCTGGGATTAAGGCATGCACCACCACCGCTGATTTAACTATTCTAAAAAATTGAACTCAAAAGTCTTCAGACAGCAAACATGAAGAGTCACAAATCTGTCTACTGACAGAACAGACCATAATCCACTAGGATAAAATGGGTGGGGCCAAGCAACATATTGTGTTTGGGGGCTGAGGAGAAGGTGAAAGAGACAGAGGACAAATTGGCTTCAACAGTTACAATCAATGTGATGAAACGTTTGGATGGACTCAGCTGTCTCTGGTTAGGGTCACGGAATTCTTTCCTCTGTTCCTTTGCTGTGTGTGGCCTACCTGCCCAAGCCATAGGCACCATCTCCTCCTGTATTCATGCAAACCTCATTAAAGGGTCTTTTTAAATGAAAGGGTGTAACAGTGCACATTTAACCATGGAGACATGAGGATCCTACTGGCAGTTGTGCCTGATGGAGGATGGGCTTGCCCTAGCAGGGAACTGGACTAACCTTGAGTGGTTTGCTGTCATTTGGGCTCTTATGTCAATATTATATTAATACAGAATTTGAGCTTTAGAAACAGGGAAAGTCAAATAGAAAGGCTAACAATTTAAGCCAGCAACAGAAATCACATGAGAAAAAGTCATCATGAAGGAAAACTGATCAACAGTGACGCCATCTAGCGCCAAACTTTGAATGCAACTACAATAAAGACTGCACTGAACTGAGCGATGGTGGCCGCACACTCACCTTTACACCCAGCACTTGCGTGTTCGAGGCCAGCCTGGTCTACAGAGTGAGTTCCAGGACAGCCAGGGTTACACAGAGAAACCAATGGGGGGTGCGGAGATTTACTGTCTGGGAAAGAATAAAGAAATCAACAGAACATGAGAGCAAACTTAGAAATAAAAACACAATTAATAGAGGCCAGGAAACCCAGTGACTAGACCATCCTGGAATCTACATGCAAATGTGTTAATGACACAGACTTTACGCCCTGCACAGAACTAACTGCAGACGGATTTACACCTGAATGTTCAGTGACAAGTGCAGAACTTCTAGAAGACTCTAGAGTGACCAGGGCTGTGAGTTAGCAAATGTGCCTTCCCTGGCCACAGTAAAAGAAAAACAAAACAAAACAAAACAAAACAACAGTGCACGCGCGGGCCCTGCACGGTGACAAGGCCGCGTGCACACCAGCTCTCCCGCCCCCCAGGCTCTGCACGGGCGGGCGCATCAGGCAGAGCCGTTCGCCGCCCCGCTTCTGCCCGGGGCTGCAGGGAACTTGGGACAAGCGGAGTCGCTCCGGCACGGCTCCCCGCGTGCGGACGGCGGCCGCTCGCTCACCATGGCGGCCTCCGTGCTCGCCGCGCTGTCCTCACGGCTGCCGGCACCGGGTCACAGCTCAGCACTCGCGACACTACAGCCTTCCTCACTCACGGTCGCCCCGGACTACAGCGTGGGAGACCGGAAGTTCCCGCCTCCATCTGACTGGCAGTCCATCTGGAGGCCCTGATTGGCTGCCTAGACCAGAGTGACAGACACTCTTGTTGTCAATGGACCCCACACAGTGGTTGCCAGACCTGGCCTCCACTCCAGGCACCGAACTCCCCCAGAACTAGAGAGACTGGCACTGGAGCAGAACTTGGGGCTGGGCTGTAAATAAAGTCTCCCCTGAACTCAGCCTGCACCCAGTAGGACTCATTTCTCCGGCATTAGTGAGGTTTTTGCTACGAAACTGAGAAAGGACAAAGGAAACCAGCCCAGCTGTGGAAAACGTGCTGATTTTCATTTTTGTACAAATAAAGTTTCATTTTAAAAAATACACACCAGGAATTTGCTGTCTTTTAAGCTATTATTGTATAGAAACGATCCATCAATATAAATAATTTTAGTGAACTAAACCCTATGGGATCAGTGCGAACTTCTTTGAATTAATCACTCCACATTTACTATAGAGCCTCAATATTCTGATGACTATGAATATTTTATTGCCTACTTGACATAGGAGCTTCCAGATTTGTTTTCCTCTCAATTCTGCATCATTAGTGAAATTAAGTAAGCCAAATTAAGAATAGTTATTTTTACATCATGCTACAATTGTTGCATTTTCTTTGCAGCCCTGGCTAGACAGGAACTCACTGTGTAGACCAGGCTAGCCTAAAAGTCCATAAAGATCTTTTTCCCTCTGCTGCGGAGTGCTAAGATTACAGGCCTGCACCCCATGCCTGACACCTATTAATTCTGCACATTTACTAATGAAATAAGCAGAACTAGGTGTGACATAAAATTGCACTGTCCATAAGACCAGTGTGAGATTTAGAGCAAATGGCAAACGTGCAGCTCTGACATTCCAGAGTTTTGGACCATTAGTGTCAGTCTTTGTCCTGAGGGCCACATGGGTCTATGGCACCCTGGTCTTCACCCCCATTTCCACAGTCCACTTTTTAGACATCCCTGTCTGGAATCCACAATGGTGCTGAAGCAGCAGGCAGGAACAGCGGCAATGGGAAGAAGCCTGCCTGGCTGCTTTACTGTGAGCTCCACTGTTTTGGGGATGAATTTTGTCCTGTGTCCTGCTTGCAGGCCCTCCACTGAGCATTCTTGAAAGCCACACTCACACTTGACTGGCATGCTCAGTCTGCCTCAGGTAATGTAGTTTCCCAGGGCTCCTTGTTTCTACCCGAACTTGGAAAAAAGCAGGTGGAGTCACGTGCTAATGATGATTACAGAATGGCGGGATGTGGGGGGCACAGAGGTCCTGGTACTCACAGAGAAGCTGTAATGGGACCAGGAAGTGAAGCACCCAGGGCTGTCTGCTCAGTGGGAGAGATACTAACCGAATACCTCCATTCCATCCAGAAGGCTGAGAGTGGACTTTGTTAATGACCTGGTGACCTTTCTGCTGTCTGCTGAGCAGACCTCATCCACCTTTCGCTATAGAGGCAGACCTCACCGCTCTTCTCCAGAGTGATTACCCGAGTCTTTCCTCCCTAGTTCATTGAGCACTGGAGGGGAGATGTCACATGCTCTCTGTGGCCTGCTGAACTCTATGCTTTGTTGGTCAGAGATCACACCAGATTCCAGGCCTTTTAGCTATAGAACCCACCCTCATGGTCACATGACTTTGTAAAGGATTATGGAATACACCTTAAGCTTTATGGTGCACCTGGAATTGGACTGTTGCATGGAAACCTTTTCCCAAATCGTACTGTGTTTTCAATATGCTGACATGATACACTTGGTAGTAGCCTCCTCGAAGTCTGATCCAGGCTGTCGACATCAGTCTACACTGGGTTTTCATTCTCACCTTGCAGGGACCCCCACAATCGGTACTCAAAGTGGGACACGTGACCCTTGAAGAAGGTAAGAAGAGTTTCCTTTAAATAGAATTTAGGGGTCCTGATGGGACCCTTAAAAGTGGCTCAGCTTCATTTTGACTTAAGGTCAGAGAGTTCAGATATACTATTGCTCTTTAAAGGTTAAACAACAGACTGTTTGGCCTAAGGTGTGACTATTGTGTATTTTGCCTTGGCCTAAAGTGTAACTAACAGATGTCTCATCTTGACAAGGGGATATTTGGTTTAAGGGTGTGGTTACCAGATGTTTGGGGTATCTGAGAAGGTAATTACACTTGATTATTTTTTTGTGTCTTGGTAAGGAAGTCTTTGCCTTCCCCCCCCTTTGGATTGGGATATATGAGCTTTGAATAATAAACTTGGGCTGATCCTGGTATTCGCCAGGTACCCTCCCGACTCTATCTCTTGTCTCTTGCTTATTTCTTTCCTCAATCCACACTCCCCTTCTCAGATATAGACCAGACAGGTCAGCTGGACCCAACAGAAAGATGCCCCTCAATGTGGGTTACTACAGGGTCTTCTCACTGATAAGGGGTCATGACCAATAAGAACCTGGATTCTAGAACACCATTCATTCCCTGTCTCATTATCCTTTTCACTGACCTGCAATATATGTATTTCCAGGACTGAGTGGCACAAGTGGTTTTAAGTGTTCAAAGCAATTCTTGATGACTAAGAACAAGGTCCTGCCACCCATCCCTCGATCTCTTCCTTTTGGCTCCTCTTGGGTTGGCTGACTACCCATCCCCATCTCCCCCCTTTTCTGGTAAATAAACTCCACGTGGGTTGTTTATCCGTTGTTCCTTTCTTTATATCAGCAGCTGCAGCTTAACCAAAAGAATAACACAGGCCATGGAGAGTAATAGGGTAAGCAGCACCCTCCATGGCCTCTGCATCAGCTCCTGCCTCCAGATCCCTACCTTGTCTGAGTTGCTATTCTGACTTCCTTTGAGGATGATCAGTGATATGCAAGTGTGAAACCAAATAAACTGGTTCCTCCCAAACTTGTTTTTGGCATGGTATTTCATCACAGCAAAAGAAACCAAAATTAGGACATCTACCTGATACCTTGGTCTAAAAATAAATAAATAACTATTTGTGGCAAATAGGAAAAAGGGTTTCTAATGACTGAGAGACCTTGGGGAATGGGAGGAAACGCAGATTAGAGTAGTGACCTATATACAAAAATGAAATTTTGAAAAGCGATAATGTGGTGCTTTGACTGAGAATAGCCTCCATTAGCCTATATGTTTGAATGCTTAGTCATGAATTCAAGGAGTGGAGTTACTAAAGAAGGATTAGGGGTGTGGTGTTATTGCAATAGGTGTGGTCTTGAGGAAGCAAGTATATCACTGGGGGTAGGCTTTGAGGTTTCAAGGGCCCAAGCCAAGCCCAGTGCCTTTCCTTCTTCAGGCGACATGTAGATCTGGATGAACTATCAGCTACCATGTCTGCCTGGGTGCTGCTATGCTCCACACCATGATGGTAATAGAATAATAATCTGAAACTATAATTAAATGCCTTCCTTTAAAATACTTGCCTTAAATAGTGGAGACACTACCTTAAATGGCCTTCCCCTTTAATGAGATTGATGACTACCTTATATGCCATCATAGAGCCTTCATTCAGTAGCTGATGGAAACAGAAGCAGATATCCACAGCCAAGCATTGAACCGAACTCCTGGAATCCATTTGTAGAGAGGGAGGAGTGATGAGCAAAGGGGTCAAGACCATATTGGGGAAACCCACAGAAACAGCTAACCGGAACAAGAGGGATGGCTCAGAGGTTAAGAGCACTGCCTGCTCTTCCAGAGGACCTGAGTTCAATTCCCAGCAACCACATGGTGGCTTACAACCATTTGTTATGAGATCTGGTGCCCTCTGGTGTGCAGATATGGAAGCAAAATGTGTATACATAATAAATAAATAAAATCTTTAAAAAAAAAAAAGAAACAGCTGACCTAAGCAAATGGGAGTTCATGGGTCCCAGTCTACCAGCTGGAGAACCAGCATAAAACTGAACCAGGCCCCCCTGAATGTGGGTGCCCACTTGGGTGTTGAGAATTTGAACCTGGGTCGTCTGGAAAAGCAACTATCTTTGGGTTTTTCTTTCTTTTTTTTTTTGGGGGGGGCCTTCAAGACAGTCTCTTTCGATATAACTATGGTCATCCTGGAACTGAGATCTGGGACAGACTGGCCTCAAATTCAGAGAGATCCACCTGCCTCCCTCTCTCACGTCCTGGGATTGCAAGAGTGCAGCTGCACACATGGGTGTGATGTTATTTAAATAATCTATCTTTGAATCAGACAGTGAAAGAATAATATAAATCAAAACAGGAAGCATCATTTTTTAATGAAAAATAATACTTCTTGGGATTTTCCAATATATTCAACTGGTAAGTGTTATCTTATGTTCTCAATATTTTGGTTAATTTCTTTGCATTGTAAATTTTCTTCCTTTAAGACTTTTTAACTGATGGGGTCGTGGTAACACAGACCTCTAATCCCAGCACTCAGGAGGCAGAAGCAGGCAGATCTCTTTGAGTTTGTGGTCAGCTTGGTCTACAGAATCACCTCCAGGACAGTCAGGGCTGCACAGTGAATAAAGTTAGTTATGTGTAAACAGCAGTGCCATGAAGAGCACGTGCCAGCCAGAGAGCAACTTACAGCTCTCTGTCCTCTAGAAATCAAACTGTGGTAGTCAAGTTTGGCAATAAGTGCCCTAAATTGTTGAGTGAACTCTCTGGACCTTATTTCTGTATGTGTTGGTGTGTGGTGTGCATACAAGGCAAGTGTAGTCATCAAAGAAAAACTTCTATGGATAACGTGGGTCTTCCAGAGAGTGAATGCAGGTTGTCAGCTTCATAGCAGTCATATTTACCCACTGATAAAACTCTTTGGCATTCATTTCAGGGAAAAAGTTAAGAACAAGTATTTAGTCCTCAGAATAAATTAAGATGATCCAAAAGTAATGGATGACAGCATACATATCAATTTCATTTGAAAATACATTTTACTATTAAAATGATCATGTGTTTCTATATTCTTGGAATACAATATCTTTACAACTTGAAAAGGAGACAATATTTTAACAATAGATCTACTAATACTACTCACGAAATGATGAGATAGCTCAGGGGTAAAAATGTATGTGGACTGCAAAGCTCATTTATTAGGTTCATGGGAATATTCATCAGTATGAATTTTTTCATGTTTTTGATGATTACTGCAACATATAAAGACTTTACCACACTCATTACTTTCATAGGGCTTTTTCTCTAGTCATTCCTTTATGACAGTGAATATAATTTTATATTCATTGACTACGTTCATAGGGTTTTTCTACAGTTTGAGTTCTTTCATTTATTTGAAGGTGATTGTTACATGAAATGTCTCTACTACATTGATTATATCCACAGGGTGTCTATCCAGTATGACTTCTTTCATGCCTCTGAAAATGACATTTGTATGCAAAGACTTTACCACATTGATTACATTCATAGGGTTTCTCTCCAGTATGACTTCTTTCATGCCTGTGAAGATTACTGTTACATGCAAAAGCTTTACAACATTGACTACATTCATAGGGTTTCTCTCCAGTATGAATTCTTTCATGCCTGTGAAGATGACTGTTATGTGCAAAGGCTTTACCACATTGACTACATTCATAAGGTTTCTCTCCACTGTGACTTCTTTCATGTTTTTGAAGATAACTGTTCTGTGCAAAGGCTTTACCACATTGATTACATTCATAAGGTTTCTCTCCAGTATGAATTCTTGCATGTCTTTGAAGATCACTTTTGCATACAAAGGCTTTACCACAGTGATTACATCCATAGGGTTTCTCTCCAGTATTAATTCTTTCATGTAATTGAAGATTACTTTTATATGCAAAGGTTTTACCACAGTAATTACAGCCACAGAATTTCTCTCCAGTATGAATTCTTTTATGTATTTGAAGAAGGCTTTTATAGGCAAAGGCTTTACCACATTGATTACATCCATAGGATTCCTCTCCAGAATTACTTCTTTTTTGTATTTGAAGATCACTGGAACATACAAAGGCTTTATCTCATTGATTGCATTCATCAAGATCCTCTTCATTACTGGTTGTGTTGTGTGTTTGAGGATACCTATGAGTGCTAAACCCTTTAGTAGATGGCTCACACTTGTTACTTTCTCTTCCAATATGAGTTTTTTCACGTCTTTGAAGAGAACTCAAAGTTTTACCACACAGATTCCATGTGTAACATTTTCTTATACTGTGAGACACACTACGTGTGCAAAGTGAACCAGAACAGTCAAATTTCCATATTCCCTGTACTCATAAGGCTTTTCTCCATCAAGAGTTTGTTGATGTGTTCCCACTGAAGTTGGAAAACCACTTAACTGTAAATTTGTGCCACAGTCATCATGTCTTCTCATGTTGGGGACTACTACAAACCGCTCATTTTTTCTGAGAGAGACAGAAGAACAATGTTTCTTTCCATACCCCTTACACTCACAGGACTTGTATCCAGAGTGACAGATGTCATACGTGGTAGAGGAAGAATAACAAAAGGTTTGCATATTGCATTCACACAGTCTAACATTCTGTGTCTCATAGAGCTGTGATAAAGGGATTCAAGTTTCTAGACCATGACAACCTCCTGGTCTCTCATAAAGTTCTCTGCTCACTAAACTATGCTAAATAAATTACTACAAGTATATAAAGAACACTACCTTTAATATGGAAGATTTGCTTATAAAAGGTCTTGGAAATACACTAATCCCCTTATCAATGTGTATACCATTTATGATAAATGAATGGTATGAACATAAGTTGGTGAACATGCCTCTCATATGGCCATGATTAAAATTATGACATCTGTTATGGCACTGTTTCCTTGTCTTATTCTTTTTTATGTGCATTGGTGTGAGAATGTCAGATCCCCTGTAACTGACAGTTACAGACAGTTGTGAGCTGCCATGTGGGTGCTGAGAATTGAACCCAGGTCCTTTGGAAGAGCAGCCAGTGCTCATAACCACTGAGCCATCTCTCCAGCCCTCCCTTGTCATATTCTTAAAGGAATGTTTTACCTGATATTGGAGTACATGGTGGTGTGAAAATTTAATAATCATCACAGAGCTGTGCTTATTTATACTTGCTTTTCATTAAAAGTTCGGGGTACATTAAGATTCTTCAGATGTATCTATGCATTAGCTTGCACATGAAAATTACCTTCCATGTCTTCTAGAATGTTGGGAATAGTCTTCAATATTGTGGTCTTCCCATTTGTACCCTAAAATACAGTACCAGAAAAATGTATGTGGTATATTACTGGAAATTAGGAACAATTGAAATCAGTATCTTTTATGTACCTTAAAATAGTGCCTGATTTAGTCACCAGATTTTTTTTCTACTACAGCATTCAAAATCACAGGAGAGCACAAATCTCCAAGAAAGGCATGTCAACCCTTAAGTTAAAAGGTGACAGGAATCTCACATTCTCACCTATGGAAGTGAGGCTCCAGGAAATTTCCAGCATCACATCTTTGTAGAGATTCTTCTGGGAAGGATCCAGCAAAGCCCACTCTTCATGAGTGAAGTTCACATGCACATCCTCATAGGTCACCATGTCCTAAAGTATCCCACATTGTAATGTTGAGAATGGGGTCAGCAGGTGAGACTCCTGTGGGCAGAGTGTTCCACCATCCCAACACCCATTGGACCTTGTAACCCACAAGACCCACTCAGCCCCCCCCACCCGAAAAAGCCACAGAACACATCATCCTCTCCCCACCCCAACCATCGCCCATGGCACCAGAGGCCTCTGAGGCATAGAGTCCACCTGCACCAATTGAAGGAAGAGTTGAGTGAGTGATCTCCCAGCTGTATAGCCCTGGTCTCTAGGCCCTAGACCAAGCCTCTCTCTGTCCCAGCACAGCTCCAGAAGACAGTCAGCTGGTAAGACTCCTGCATACAGGTTGTCCCACCACCCCCACCAACCAATAGACCCTGTAAACTACAAGTCCCACTCCACCCCTTAAATTCATGGAACCCATCATCCTCCCAATAGCCAATCATCCCCCATGGTATCAGCAGCCCCTGGAGGCACAGAAATCAATGGCAGTGATTGAAGGAAGAGTGGGCCCAGAGGCACAGAACCACCTGCACCAATTGCAGGAAGAATCAACACCTGTACCAATAATTACCTGAAACCCAGATGGGTAGACGACAGTATAAGAATACAATGAACAACATAAAGAGCAATAAAGCACCACCACAAACTAGTGCTTCTGCAACAGCAAGACCTGAGCATCTCAGCACAGATGCAGCAGAAGAAAACAACCTTTAAAACAGCCTTATGAAGATGATAGAGGCCCTAAAAGAGGAAAGGAAATTTTTCATTAAAGAAATCAATGAAAAGGAAAACAGAACACTGGAAAAAAAATCAATAAATCCCTTAAAGAAAGCCAAGGAAAAGACAAACAGGCGAAGGAAACAGTTCAAGCCTTGAAAATTAAAATAGAGGCAATAAAAAAAAAACTGAGGGAATTCTGAAAATGGAAAACCTGGGTAAACAAACAGAAATTACAGATGCAAGCATAACCAACAAAATACAAAAGATGAAAAAGAGAATCTCAGGCATTGAAGATATGATAGAGGAAATTGATTCATCTGTCAAAAAATGATAAATCAAACAAACTCTTTTTTTCCTTTTTAAATTTAAAATAGAAACAAGCTTGTTTTACATGTCATTCCCAGTTCCTCTCCCTCCCCCTCCCCTCCTTCCCTGTCCCCCACCACCTCCCCATCCCATCCCCTTTAGGCTCCCTAGGGAGGGTGAGGCCTTCCATGGGGAATCTTCAAAGTCTGTCGTCATTTGGAGCAGAGCCTAGGCCCTCCCCCGTGTGTGTAGGCTGAGAGAGTATCCCTCTGTGTGGAATGGGCTCCCAAAGTCCATTCATATACTAGGGATAAATACTGATCCACTACCAGAGGCCCCATAGATTGCCCAGGTCTCCTAACTGACACCCATGTTCAGGGGGCCTGGGTCAGTCCTATACTGGTTTCCCAGCTATCAGTCTGGGGTCCATGAGCTCCCCCTTGTTCAGGTCAGCTGTTCCTGTGGTTTTCTCCAGCTTGGTCTTGACCCCTTTGCTCATCACTCCTTCCTCCCTGCAAATGGATTCCAGAATTCAGCTCAGTGTTTAGCTGTGGGTGTCTGCTTCTGCTTCCATCAGCTACTGGATGAAGGTTCTAGGATAGCTTATAAGTTAGTCATCAATCTCATTATCAGGGACGGGCATTTAAGGTTGCCTCACACTATTGCTTAGACTGTTAGTTGAGGTCATCCTTGTAGATCTCTGAACATTTCCCTAGTGCTAGATTTCTCTTTAAAACTATAATGGCTCCCTTTTTCTTACTCTCCCCTATTCTTCCCCTGACTCAATGCTCCTGTTCCCTCATGTCTTCTTCCCCCCTCCTCTTCTCCCCTTCTCTTTCTCCTAACTCCCTCTCCCCTCCCCCCATGCTCCCAATTTTCTCAGGAGATCTTGTCCCTTTTTCCCTTCTTCAGGGGACCATGTATGTCTCTCTTAGGGTCCTCCTTGTTTCCTAACTTCTCTGGCAGTGTGGATTGCAGGCTGCAAATCCTTTGCTCTATGTCTAAAATCCATATATGAGTGAGTACATACCATGTTTGTCTTTCTGAGACTGGGTTACCTCACTCAGGGGGGTTTCTTCTGCTTCCATCCATTTGCCTGTGAATTTCAAGATTCCATTGTTTTTTTCTGCTGAGTAGTACTCCATTGTGTAAATTTACCACATTTTCTTTATCCAGGCTATTACAAATAATGCTGCTATGAACATAGATGAACAGATGTCCTTGTTGTATGAATGTGCATCCTTTGGGTATATGCCTAAGAGTGGAATTGCTGAATCTTGTGGTAGACTGATTCCCATTTTCCTGAGGAACCGCCATAGTGATTTCCAAAGTGGTTGTATGAGTTTGCACTCCCACTAGCAATGGAGGAGTGTTCCCCTTTCTCCACATCCTCTCCAGCATAGATTGTCATTGGTGTTATTGATTTTAGCCATTCTGACAGGTGTAAGATGGTATCTCAGAGTTGTTTTGATTTGATTTTCCCTGATGGCTAAGGATATTGAGCACTTTCTTAAGTGCCTTTCAGACATTTTTAGACTTCTCTGTTGGGAATTCTCTATTTAGTTCTGTACCCCACTTTTTAATTGGATTATTTGATATTTTGGTGACTAGCTTCTTGAGTTCTTTGTATATTTTGGAAATCAGCCCTCTGTCAGATGTGGGGTTGGTGAATATCTTTTACCATTCTGTGGGCTGCTATTTTGTCTTGCTGACTGTGTCCTTTGCTTAACAGAAGTTTATCAGTTTCAAGAGGTCCCATTTATTAATTGTCGATCTCAGTGTCTGTGCTACTGGTGTTATGTTCAGGAAGCTGTCTCCTGTACCAATTCGTTCAAAGGTACCTCCCACTTTCTCTTCTAAGAGGTTCAGTATGGCTGGATTTATATTAAGGTCTTTGATCCATTTGGACTTAAGTTTTGTGCATGGCATGCAGATAGATATGGATCTATCTGCAGTCTTCTACATGTCCGAATCCAGTTATGCCAGCACCATTTGTTGAAGATGCTTTCTTTTTTCCATTGTATAATTTGAGCTTCGTTGTCAAAAATCAGGTGTTCGTAGGTTCGTTGGTTAATATCAGTGTTTTCAATTTGATTCCGTTGGTCTACCTGTCTATTTTGTGCCAATACCAAACTGTTTTCAGGTCTATGGCTCTATAATAGAGCTTGAAGTCAGAGACGGTGATGCCTCTGGAAGTTCCTTGGTTGTACAGGGTTGTTTTGGCTATCCTGGGTCTTTTGCTTTTCCATATAAAATTGAGTGTTATTCTTCCAAGGTCTGTGAAGAATTGTGCTGATATTTTGATGGGGATTGCATTGAATCTGTAGATTGATTGTGGCAAGATTGTCATTTTTACTATGTTGATCCTACCTATCCAAGAGCATGGGAGATCTTTTCATTTTCTGATATCTTCTTTAATTTCTTTCTTTTTTATTTATTTATTTTTATTTTTATGAATATTGACATTTTGCCTGCATGTATGTCTGTGTGAGGGTGTCAGATTTGGAATTACAGACAGTTGTTATCTGCCATGTGGGTGCTGGGAATTGAACCAAGGTCATCTGGAAGGACAGCTGGTGCTCTTAACCACTGAGCCATCTCTCCAGCCCTAATTTCTTTCTTTAAAGACTCAAAGTTCTTGCTATTTTATGTTGTTTGTGGTACTGTAAAGGGTGATGTGTCTCTGATTTCTTTCTCAGCCCATTTTATTGTCTGTATATAGTAGGGGTACTGATTTTTTTAAGTTGATCTTGTATCCTGCCACTTTGCTGAAGGTGTGTATCAGCTGTAGGAGTTCCCTGGTAGAGTTTTTCAGGTCACTTATGTAAACTATCATATCATCTGCAAATAGTGAAAGTTTGACTTCTTCCTTTCCAGTTTGTATCCCCTTGATCTCCTTTTGTTGTCTTATTGCTCTAGCTAGAAGTTCAAGTACAATATTGAAGAGATATGGAGAGAGTGGACAGCCTTGTCTTGTTCCTAATTTTAGAGGAATCATGTTGAGTTTCTCTCCACTTAGTTTGATGTTGGCTGTTGTTTTCCTGTATATTGCCTTTATTATGTTCAGGTATGTTCCTGTTATCCCTGATCTCTCCAACACCTTTATCATGAAGTGGTGTTAGATTTTGTCAAAGGCTTTTTCGGCATCTAGTGAGATGATCATGTGTTTTTTTTTTTCTTCAGTCTGTTTACATGGTGGATTACATTGATGGATTTTCATATGTTGAACCATCCTTGCATCTCTGGGATGAAGCCTACTTGATCATGGTGGATGATTTCTCTGATGTGTTCTTGGATTCAATTTGCCTGTATTTTATTGAGTATTTTTGCATTAACATCCATGAGCGATATTGGTCTGTAGTTCTCTTAGTTGTGTCTTTGTGTGACTTGGGTACCAAGGTAATTGTAGCCTTGTAAAGAGTTTGGCAATGAACCTTCTGCTTCTATTGTGTGGAACAATTTGAGGAGTAATGGTATTAGCGCTTCTTTGAATTTCTGGTAGAATTCTGGGCTGAAACCATCTGGCCCTGGGCTTTTTTGGTTGTTAGACTTTTGATGAGTGCTTCTATTTCATTAGGGGTTATAGGTCTGTTTAAATTGCTTATCTGTCTTGATTTAATTTTGGTAAGTGATGTCTATCCAGAAAATTGTTCATTTCCTTTAAATTTTTGAATTTTGTGGAGTACAGGTTTTCAAAGTTTGACCTGAAAATTCTCTGGATTTCCTCAGTGTCCGTTCTCATGTCCCCCTTTTCATTTCTGATTTTGTTAATTAGCATGCTGTCTCTGCCTTTTGGTTAGTTTGGATAAAGGTTTTTCTATCTTGTTGATCTTCTCGAAGAACCAACTCTTTATCACATTGATTCTTTGTATTGTTTTCTTTGTTTCTACTTTATTGATTTCAGCCTTCAATTTGATTACTGCCTGGCATCTACTCCTCGGGGGTTCATTGGCTTGTGTTCTAGAGCTTTCAGGTGTGCTGTTAATTCTCTAGTGTGACTGTTCTCCAGTTTCTTTATGTGGGCTTTTAGTGCTATGAACTTTCCTATTAGTACTGCTTTCAAAGTGTCCCATAAGTTTGCGTATGTTGTGTCTTCATTTTCATTGAATTCTAGAAAGTCTTTAATTTCTTTATTTATTCCTTGAGCCAGGAATAGGGCAATTGTGCATTGTTCAATTTCCATGAATTCATAGGGTTTCTGCAATTTGTGTTGTTGTTAAATTCTAACTCTAAAGCATGGTGGTCTGATAAGATACAGGGGGTTATTCAAATTTTTTGTATCTGTTGAGGTTTGCTATGTTGCTGAGTATGTGGTCAATTTTAGAGAAGGTTCCATGTGGCGCTGAGAAGAAGTTATATTCTTTTGTGTTTGGATGGATGTTCTATAGATGTCTGTTAAACCCGACTGGGTCATAACTTCTGTTAGTTCTTTTGTTTCTTTGTTAAGTTTCTGTCTGGTGGTCCTATCTAGTGGTGAGAGTGGGGTGTTGAAGTCTCCCACTATAATTGTGTGAGATTTTATGTGTGATTTGAATTTTAGTAATGTTTCTTTTATGCCTTTGTATCTGGAACATAGATGTGCAGAATTGAGACTTCATTCTGATGGATTTTTCCTGTGATAAATATGAAATGACCTTCTCCATCTCTTTTGATTGATTTTAGTTTGAAGTCTAATTTGTTAGATATTAGGATCACCCCATCAGCTTGTTTCTTGGGTCCATTTGATTGGAAAATATTTTATTGATAATTATTTATTTATTATGTATACAGTGTTGTGTCTGCATGTATCCCTGCACACCAGAAGAGGGCACCAGATCTCATTACAGATGGTTGCGAGTCACCATGTGGTTGCGGGGAATTAAACTCAAGCCCTCTGGAAGAGCAGCCAGTGCTCTTAACCTCTGAGCCACCTCTCCAGCCCCTGATTGGAAAAATCTTATCCGAACCCTTTACTCTGAGGTAAGATCTGTCTTTGAAGTTGAGGTGTGCTTCTTGTATGCAGCAGAAGGATGGATTCTGTCTTCATATCCATTCTGTTAGCCTGCGTCTTTTTATAGGCAAATTAAGACCATTAATATTGAGGGAAATTAAGCTCTATTGAGTGTTAATTCTTGTTTGTTTTGGATTTGTTGGTGGTGGTGGTATTGTGTGTGGATTTACCCCATTTTTTCTTTTGGCTTTTGGTAAAGTGGGATTATCTATTGCCTATGTTTTACTTTTTTGAGACAGGGTTTCTCTGTGTAGCTTTGGAGCCTATCCTGGCACTCACTCTGGAAACCAGGCTGGCCTCGAATTCATAGAGATCCACCTGCCTCTGCCTCCGAGTGCTGGGATTAAAAGCGTGCGCCACCAATGCCCTTGCCTATGTTTTTGTGAGTGTAGTTAAGTTCCTTAGGTTTGAGTTTTCCTTTCTGTAGGGATGGACTAGTGGGTATGTATTGTTTAAATCTGGTTTTGTCATGGAATATCTTGTTTTCTCCATCTATAGTGACTGAAAGATTTGCTGGGTATAGTACTCTGGGCTGGCATCCATGGTCTCTTAGCATTTGTAGAATATCTATATAGGACCATCTGGCTTTCAGAGTTTCCATGGAAAAGTCAGGTGTAATTCTGATAGACCTGCCTTTATATGTTACTTGGACTTTTTCCTTTGCTGCTCTTAGTATTCTTTCTCTATTGTATATGTTTAATGTTTGGATTATTATGTGGCAAGAGGACCTTTTTATGGTTCACTCTATTTGGTGTTCTATAGACTTCTTGTACTTTCATCAGCATGTCTTTCTTTAGATTGGGAAAGCTTTCTTCTATGATTTTGTTGAATATGTTTTCTGCACCTTTTAGTTAGGTTTCTTCACCTTTTTCTATACCTATTATTCTTAGGTTTGGTCTTTTCACGGTGTCCCATATTTCCTGGATATTTTGTGTTAGGGATTTGTTGGACTTGAGATTTTCTTTGATCAATGAATCTATTTCTCCTTGAGTATTATGAACACCTTGTATTCTGTTGGTTATGCCGCATCTGTAGTTCCTGATCATTTACCCAGCTTTTCCAATTCCAACATTCCCTCAGACTGTGTTTTTTCTTTTTTTTATTGTCTCTATTTCAGCTTTCAAACTCTGTGAGTTCGAGACCAGCCTGCTCTACAGAGTGAGTTCCAGGACAGCCTCCAAAGCCACAGAGAAACCCTGTCTCGGAAAAAAAGAACTTTTTAAATGCCATATTCAGCAGGTCTCCTCTTGTGTTGAGGACCACAATCTATTAAGTATATCTGAAGTATGCAAACTTAGTTCCTAGTTACCCACTTCAGGCTCAAACCCAAAAACACATACAGGAAGCTAGACGAAGCTTATTCTAGAATGGGTTGGTACTCTGTGTAACGACATAATAATCTTACAGATCTTGAGATAAGATTTAGAATTTAAGAGTAAGTTTTAGAGAGTCAAAGATTATAAGATTCGTGGCAACATTAAGTTTGGTTTCTCCCCTGTCCCCATTCCAAGGGACTCTTCTGATGTGAGACAGAGATTTTGGGTTTTCCTTTATGAAAAATGCATGGGTTTAGAGAAGAGAGCCACATTCCAACTCCAAAGCCAGCTTTAAATTTTGATTGAATTGGGACCACATAAAGTGAATGGCCATTTCAAACTTATGTCTGTAGAGGGCAGCAGAGACAAGCGTTTGGGAAACCACCTTGGGTCGCCAGCCTCAGGGAGGGAAGAAAGGGAAGGCCTGCAGGGTGCATCCAACCCCAAGCCCACATTGTGTAGTTGACCTGTGGGAAGGAGCAGCCAATCAGGCAAGATGGTGGCGTGGGTGCCAGAGCTACTCTGGGGCTCCGCTTCTTCATAGGACAATTTTCTTCAGATGTTTCTCTTGTCTAGTGGCCTCCGGTTTCCTTAATTGGATGCTTTGTATGTGTGAGACCTGGGGTTTAACCTCAGTACTAAACGGGAGGGAGAGGGAGGGAGGGAGAGAGAGAGAGAACTGTTAACAAAGTATGTCCGGAGTCCATTCAGGCCTGCCTCTGCCTCCGGAGTGCTGGGATTAAAGGTGTGCGCCATCACTGCCCAGCAGGAAGGTAATTTTCATGTGCGAGCTGATACTTATGTATGTCTGAAGAAATGTTATTATACCCTGAACTTTGAATGAAAAGCAATGGTGTAAATAAGCATAGGTTTGTGATGATTATTAAATTCTCATGGCACCATGTACTTCAATGTCAGGTAGCTGATCACCATTCGCAAAGCATTCCTTTAAGGACAAGACACGGAAGCAATGCCATAATAGATGTCACAATTTGAATCATAGCCACGTGAGACACATGTTGTAGAACTATCATTCAGGCCTTCCTTGCCTCAGTTGTAGGGACTTTCGTCATCTCCAGATGATGGAAGGAAGTAGTAGTAAAGGGACATCTTCATTTCCTGCATTATAATGACATCTTTGGGAGCTCGAGAGTCGACTCAATAGCACTGCGGCTGTTGGGTACCCAAGTTTGGTTCCTAGCACCCACATCAGGAGCCCCAGGAGTACCTATGCATTGTAGACCAGGAGGTCTGGGCATGTTAACAGTACAAAGGCGCATGTGCATGTGCTCGTGTGTGTGTGTGTGTGTGTGTGTGTGTGTGTGTGTGTGTGTGTGTGTGTATGAGAGCGAAGGAGAGGGAGAAACAGAGAGACAGAGAGAAGGAGGGGGAAGAGGAGATTGACCTTGTATTTTAAAAAGAGCTTTCTTCATGTATATGCCATGGTTTTTTAAAAAAATAAAATAAAATTACTTGTATTCATGTGTATTGTTGGAACAGTGTCCATGAATGAAATCATGTGAGGAGAATTTTAAGCACTTGCGTCAACACTTAAGAAAAAAAAAGGGGGGGTGCTGGAGAGATGGCTCAGCAGTTAAGAGCACTGGCTGCTCTTTCAGAGGACCTGGGTTCAATTCCCAGAAACCACATGGCAGCTCACAGCTGTCTGTTACTTCAGTTTCAGGGGATCCGACACCTTCACACCAATACACATAAAATAAAGTTAAGTAAATTATTTAAAAAAAAAAAACAAGACAAGACAATTGTGACTTAAGTTTCTTCTTGGACTATGGCTTGTCTTTCAATTTAACAGTTAGGCGTGGCTTTACTTCATATTGCCCATTATTGTTTACTATTTTTCATCCAGTTAAACTATGCTTTATATGCCTTCATGGAAAACAATGCTTTTGTCCCTTACAGACTGTTTTCATCATACATAGTTTGAACACACTACAACTTTACTCGGGTAATCTTTATTAACCTTCAGAATATACATTGTATGGAGCTCTGAATAAAGTTGGCTATTGCATGAGACTGCAGCGTGTCTCACTCACCAGCTCAGTTCTCCCAGGGCCCCCTGTCTCTAGAATAGTGACAAGTGGCTCTTTAACAGGGATGATGGTTGGCTACAAGAAGAGAAAATCAGGATCCTCAGAGCAGGTGAGTGAGAGCAATGATGCAGAAACCCAGGAAGGCTTTGACGCATGTTGAGCTATTACATCCTTTTTAAAATCAGGAGGAACACAGTATTAAGAACACAACTATTGCATGGCTTCTGGGTCATTTTCAAAAAATGGATGATATGTATCTAAAGGAGGCTCCAGTAAGGGAGCTGACACCTGCATCCATGTCAGTAGTGCTTTGCTTTCAATTTTGCCTGAACAGAGAAATTCATCTTTTTTTGCCTCTCTGACCAATTTTAAAGTTTGGTCGTGTGCTCTAGTTCCAAGGACAGCCTCCAAAGCCACAGAGAAACCCTGTCTTGAAAAAGAAAAAAAAGAAAAGAAAGAAAGAAAGAAAGAAAGAAAGAAAGAAAGAAAGAAAGAGAGGGAGGAACAAAGAAAGAGAAAGAAAAAGAAAGAAAGAAAGAAAGAAAGAAAGAAAGAAAGAAAGAAAGATACCTTCCATTTCTTCTGGACCTCTGGCAATGTTCTTCAATATTGTGGCCTCCCCATTTGTAGCCTACAACACAGTACCAGAAAATGTGTGTGATATATTATTGGAAATTAGACACAGTTGAAATTACTGTCTTTCAGCCAGACTTTAAATGGCACACGCATTTAATGCCAGCACTCAGGGGGCAGAAGCAGAGGCAGGCGGATCTCTGTGAATTCCAGGCCAGCCTGGTCTCCAGAGTGAGTGCCAGGATAGGCTCTAAAGCTACACAGAGAAACACTGTCTCGAAAAACCAAAAAAAAAAAAGGGGGGGGGGGCCAGAGCGATAGCTCAGAGGTTAAGAGCACTGACTGCTCGTCCAAAGGTCCTGAGTTCAAGGCTCACAACCATCCCTTATGAGATCTGGTGCCTTCTTCTGGTGTGCAGATATACATGGAAGCAGAATGTTGTATACATAATTAATTAAAAAAAAAGAAAAGAAATTACTGTCTTTCATGGATCTTAGTACCATGCCTGATTTGTCCACCAGATTCTTCCCCTTCCATATTCAAGATCACAAAAGAACACCAATGTCCATGAAAAGTGTGTCCCCTTAAGTTAAAAGGTGACAGGAAGCTCACATTCTCACCTATGGAAGTGAGGCTCCAGCAGGTTTCCAACATCACATCTTTATAGAGATTCTTCTGGGAAGGATCCAGCAAAGCCCATTCTTCATGAGTGAAGTTCACATGCACATCCTCATAGGTCACCTCGCCCTAAAGTATCCCATAGATGTTCATAATTGAAATGGTGAGACTGAAATGCAAATGTACATTGAGATTATATTTACAAAATTCTGTGTGCTCAATACATTCTGTGACATGGGTCAGTAAATATCAAATGCAGTCACCAACTCATTTTAAAAGAAAACAGAAAAAGAGGATGACACCTTCCATTCCTGTGCCCACCAAATAGAATATGGCATGTCAGGAGGAACGCCTAGTAATATATACAGAGAGACATGCAAACAGAGTAACACTATTTAGTATACACCAGCAAAATTTTATTGAAATTATGAACTTCATAAAAAGATAGACAATACGGATGTGGTGGTGCACAGTGCTAACCCCAAACCTCAGGAGGCAGAGACTAATAATCACACAACAGAGGCAATACTAGGCTGTTTTGAGATTTCCTCTGTCAAAGGAGTTAATCCAAAACTCCTCACTTCAGCCACATTCTTCACCAAAATATAACAAGAACAGTTTCTAGGCAATATACTTTTATTTTTCTCCTCTGAAACCACTTGAACTAGGCCCCCACTGTTCAAGTTACACCTGAGCACCACTGTCTTCCATGCTCTCACCACGATGGCCCATTAAGCAGCTCTTAGAGCATTCCATTGCTTTCCTAACTCAAAGTCCCAAAGTCTACAGTCCTCCAAATGGAAACCTGGTCAGGCCAATCACAGCAATAGCCCAATCCCTGCTACAAACGTCTCTATCAGTTACGGCATATTGCTGGGAAGACGTATTATGACCACAGCAATTATTATAAAGGAAAACACTTAACTCTAACATCTAGTGATAATGGTTTACTCCATTATCATCATGGGAGGAAGCATGGCAGCACGCAGGCAAACGCAGAGCTAGAGAAGGAGCCGAGAGGTCTACATCTTGGTCAGCAGGCAGCAGAAGGACACTGAGGCTCACTAGACCTAGCTTGAGCACCTGAGACCCCAAAGCCCACCTCCACAGGACACACTTCCTCCAACAAGACCACACCTCCTAACAGTGCCATTCCCCACAGGCCAACCATTGAAATACATGGGTCTGTGGGGACCATTCCTATTCCAACCCCACCAGGGTTCCCTTTAATTGATGGTCTGACGTATCCAACCCAAAAGGAAACAAATTAGAAAGTCACCTGTTATGTCACTTTCAGAAGTTAAGTCTTGTTGAGGTGTCTTCTGTTTGGACACAGCAGAGGTCAGATGATCCACTGTCTGGGAACCATGTATATGTCACTGTCTCTTCAGGTGTATGAATATATATGTGATGGCTATCCTGGTTGTTTTTATTGTATGTCTGTCTCTCTGTGTATGTGTATTTACATGTCTTCCTATGTGTACCTATCAGTTTTGTTTCCCTATATTGATCAGTGGCTTTCTCTGCTGTGAAACCCTCCTCCACGCAGGTCCTGTGCTCCCCTCCTGACTCTACCAAGTCACCCAAAGATGAAAAAAAAACTACCCTCCACTTGACCCAGTCTAGGAGCACAAGCACTTCCTTGTAGTGTTGCTTGACTCCTGCTCACATTCAGTGTTGGTCCCTGTGAAGAGGGAGAAGGTGCCAGGCCTCTAGGCTAGACCTGAACTGAACCTCACAGCCATCTAAGAAAAATGCACACAGGGTGGGGAAAATAGTTCCCCCCGGGTGAGCATTCCCACCATTTTTGTGCCTGCTCTAAGTAGTTCCAGGGAAGGAGAAAACTTCTCCTGGGCTGAACCAAAAGGAAAAGAGAAGTTCCACTACTTTCTCTTTCATAGTTTGCATCTCTTTTCAACCAGTGATCTCTAAAGCCCACCCTTCTCTTAAAAAAAAAATAAAAAGTAAAAACACTACCCCTGGGCTGGGCAAGGGAAATGCTGCCAGGAAACACAGCCTGGAAAGAGCAGATGTTTATTCCCTATAGATTTGGCAACAGGCCAGTCTAAATCTAGCTTGTGTTAAGCTGACCAAATCTGATCAGCACACCTTCTGAGTCACCTCCCAAACTCCAAAGGCAGATCATTCAGCAAACCTCCACTCTAAAACACTGGCTTTCAGCATGTACTTGTGCAAACACACACAGAAAGTTTTGAAAATGTGTCAAGGTTAGGACTGGAGAGATGACTCAGCAGTAACTACCACTTGTTACTCTTGCAGAAGTCCTGCGTTTGGTTCCCAACACTAACATGGTGGCACGCAATCATCCATAGATGCTGTTGCAGGGGATCTGATGCCCCCTTCTGTCCTCTGTGGGCACAAAACACACATGATGAACATACACACATGCAAGCAAAACAGTCACACACACATAGAATAAAATAAGTAAACAGCTAATTTGCCAGGTGCAGTGGCACACACCTTTAATCTCAGAGGCAGAGGCAGGGGCAGGCGAATCCCTGAGTTCCAGGCCAGCCTGGTCTACAGAGAAAGTTCCAAGGCTACCCAGAGAAACCATGTCTTGAAAAATAAGATCCAAACCCACATATCTCTTATATGTCACTATGGAAAAAAATAGCCAGAAATACATAGAAATGTGAAAAGTATCTGTAGCCAAAACTATAAATTTTTAATTACAAGAATCAAGGAACAGGGCTGGAGAGATGGCTCAGAGGTTAAGAGCACCAGAGTTCAATTCCCAGCAACCACATGGTGGCTCACAACCATCTGTAATGAGATCTGGTGCCCTCTTCTGGTGTGTAGATATACATGGAAGCAAAATGTTGTATACATAATAAATAAATAAAATATTTTTTTAAAATTATTTTAAAAAAAAGAATCAAGGAACTAAAAAAAGGAGAAAAATTCCAGGATTGTAGACAGGAAGCCTCAATAGCACTCAACAGTACAGAATCTGGCCTATGGATTCAGTCCAATAAAAAGTCTAACAATTTTTCCTAACAACAACGACAGAAAAATGATGACAAAGGCCATCCACACAAGATTGAGTGTATAGCACACACAGAGACACCATTTGACTTCAAAACTTTGCACACAACTGCAGTAAAGACTGTACTGTCTGGGAAACGACGCAGATCAACAGAACACGAGAGCAAACTTAGAAATGAAAAAACAATTAATATAGAGTCAATTGTGACACATGGGGCCAGGAAATCCAGGGGTGGGCCCTACTGGCCCACTGGGCATCTATATGCAAATATGTAAATGACACAGACTTTATGCCCTGCACAGAATTAACTGCAGACAGATCTACACCTGAATGTTCAGTGACAGGTGCGGAACTTCTAGAAGACCCTAGAGTGACCAGGGCTCTGCGAGTCAGCAAATGTGCCTTCCCTGGGCAACAACGATGCTTCCACACAGGAGTTCACGCCTCCCCTGCTCTGCGCAGGCGCACCCCGGAGCCACGTACTTAGGGGGTCCCCTGGTTCGCGCCCAGCTGCCGGAAACGGCGTGGCCCTCACGGGACCTCGCTGTGTTGGGTGGCCCCGGGAGGACACCACCCCGCCTCCCCGCCTCCTCCCCTCGTGGAGGCGGCGGCCCCTGGCTCACCCTGGCGGATTCCCAGCTCGCCCCGCTGTCCTCACGGCTCCTGGCAGCACACGGAGCACTAGAGTCTCCCTCAGCCCCGGAGCCGCCGGAGCCTGCAGCATGAAGCACCAAAAGTACCGGACCCCATTCTGACTGACAGTCCATTTGGAGGCCATGATTGGCTAGTGATGCCTGCCTGAGTCACAGCAGTGAAGAGCTGCGGCTCTGTAGTTCCCTACTGTCCCGACATGCCGAGATTGGCACTGCAGCAGAACTCGCGTCTGGACTGCAAAGTCATCCCTGAACCTTTCCAATACTCAGTAGGCGATTTCCGTTCTGTGCACAGGGCCTCTAGCATATGAAGATCATTAAACAATGTTCAGTAGAGTGATCCCCCTGCCCCACAACTGAAAGAGCGTCCAGTCCATCCAGGTCAAATATAAACCTCCTGACTGATATTCACCAGGCACCAGCAATTTCAATAAGGCACAACCAGTATTGCTCACACCTCTCTCAGCTACACACTGCTATCCAAAACACTAACGCTCTCCCAGCTTTCTGTGGTTCCCCTGGCCGATCATACCAGAGCTTGGGAGATGGAGACGGGACATGGAAAGGTTAAACCAGTTTGGTCTATGATATGAAACACCAGAAATTAGCGGCCCCAAAGGGGAGGTGTCAAGGGTAACGACCTGGGATGAGAAGGATAAAGATAGAAAGTTATGTAGTAGATATTGCATAAGCTGATGTCTCATGCTAAGCAAGTTTATTAAATACAACTCTGATACACTTTTTGTGGGGGGAGTCAGACAGAGCCAGCAGAAATCTAATTCAACAATGCTGGCAAGAAGAACACATGTGACCTCAGGCTGAGCACATGGTGGCCTTGGGACTGATAACCACAGCCCCTCAGGCTAAGGAGTCTGGTCCCTTTAATTCCTTCAAGACAGTGGCTCAAGTCTGCCCTTAGGCCAACACACAGAATTAGTGTTCCCTTGGGTGCTTTTATCAGAGCCTCAGAAAAGGCCTTAGATTGGATCAACTCTCAAAAGGCCCACCTCCAACCAAAATAAAAAAACACACATGAAAATGGAAAATTGCTTTTGTGGAGTTCTGGAACTTGGAAAACAGAAGGTGGAGTTTATCTTGTGTGCTGCTTGCAGACAGGCCTTCCACTGAAGTTTCTTGGTTGGTTGGTTGGTTGTTTTGGTTTCTGAAGACAGGATTTCTTAGTTTAGTCCTTGTGTAACAGTCCTGGCTGCCTTGGAACTCACTCCGTAGACCAGGCTGGTTTTGAACTCAGAGATCTCCCTGCCTCTGCCTCCTGAGTGCTGGGATTAAAGGTGTGGGCCACCACCGCCAGGCCCACCGAGCATTCTTGAAAGCCACACTCACACTTGACTGGCATGCTCAGTCTGCCTCAGGTAATGTAGTTTCCCAGGGCTCCTCGTTTCTGCCTGAACTTGGAAAACAGCAGGTGGAGTCACGTGCTAATGATGACTACAGAATGGCTGGATGTGGGGGCCACAGAGGTGTAGCAGACTTTCTTTCGGGCCACCAACCAACTCCCAAATCATGACGTGGAGACTTATTAATTATGACTGTGGATAGCTCCCTCTCTTTCTCCCTCATTGCTCTCTCTTCTCTGGTTCTCTCAACTCTGCCTGCAGCCCCTACCAACTCACTGCAGGGGACAAGGACATGGTGCATTGTCGGCCAGATCCTGCAGATGAAGCACTTGCAGGCTCAGGGTGGCTGAGGACACAGCTCAGCTGTCCACTCTCCATCTTCACTTCTGCAAGCTGAAGCCTCAGGGGCCACCTTCCCCGGGCTCCAGGGTAATGAACAGGACTCACCATGCACTGGCGGCTCAGCTTGGGACCTTACTGTTGTAGTTAGGGTTTCTATTGCTGCAACAAAACACCATGACCAAAAAGCAATCTGGGGAGAAAAGGGTTTATTTGGTTTATACTTCCAGATCATACTCTATCGTTGGAGGAAGTCAGGACAGGAACTCACACAGGGCAGGAACCTGGAGGCAGGAGCTGACGCAGAAATCACGGAGGGTGCTGCTTACTCCCCGTGGTTTGTTCAACCGTCTTTCTTTTTTTCTTTTCTTTTTTTTTTTTTTGTTTTTGTTTTTCAAGACATGGTTTCTCTGTATTGTTTTGTTTTGGAGCCTGTCCTGGCACTCGCTCTGTAGACCAGGCTTGCCTCAAACTCACAGAGATCAGCCTGCCTCTGCCTCCCAAGTACTGGGATTAAAGGCACCAACACGGGGCTTCAACCTGCTTTCTTATAGAACCCTGAACCACAAGCCCAGGGATGGCACCAGCCCAGGGAGAGCTGGACCCTCCCCCAGTGATCACTAATTGAGAAATGCCTTACAGCTGGATCTCATGGAAGTGTTTCCTCACCTGAGGCTCCTTCTTCTCTGATGACTACTCTAGCTTATGTCAAGTTGACACGCAAAGCCAGCCAGCGCAACTGACTCCTTGTCCACTTGACACACAAACACATCAAGATTAATCCACAACCCTTCCTTTCTTATTAATCCCCAAAATCCCATATTAAAAACACAAATAACTTTAAAAGTTCCACAGTCTTTATAAATTTAAACACATTAAATTTCAGTCCCTTTAAATTAGCCAATCTCTTTGAAAAATCCAAAGTCTTTGAAAATTCAGAGTCTCTCAACTGTGGGCTCCAGTAAAATATTTTCTTACTTCAGGAGGGAAAATCAGGGTCACAATCAAATCAAAGCAAAACCAAATTCCAACCATCCAATATCTGGGATCCACTCATGATCTTCTGGATTCCTCCAAGGGCTTGGGTCATTTCTCCAGCTCTACAGCACACACAGCCTGCCTTTTAGGATCCAGCTGGCTCTACTCCTCTGCTGTTAACATTCTTGGTGGTCATCCCATGGTACTGGCATCTCCAAAATGCTGGTCTTCTGCCACAGCTAGGCTGCACTTTCACCAATAGCCTCTCATAGGCTCTCCCATGGTGCCAACCCTCAAATACCCCTTCAGTCCTGGGCCTTCAGCTGTTTTTGAGGCAGGCAGCATCTTCACCAGTGGCCTTTCCTGGCCTCTCCCAATACCAAGCCCCAGCTGCTCTCCATGACCCCTTCATGGCTTCAAAACAAGCACCACCTGGGTGACTCTTACATATTACCAATTCCCGCTGCCAGCATGAGGTACAATCTTGGCCTCCTCTGGAACACAGCTTTCCAGTGCTCTCAGGAAGCTTTCCCTAGATGATTTCATCTCACTGATGCTGGTGTCTTCTTAATCATGTCTAATTTCTCAGCTCCAGCTGACCAGCATCAAGTATCCCAACAAAGCAAAGTTTTCACTTTAGTAGTTCTGGTACCTAGTTAATCACAGCTGATTCTTCAGCCCCAGCTAACCAGAACCACAGAATCTTCACCCAAAATAACAAATGGCCCCAATAGAGTCTTTAATATTCCCTCTGAAACTTCATAAGCCAAGCTTCCATCCTCTGGACTGCTCTCAACATTTTTTAAGATATATTTATCGTGTATACAGTGTTCTGCCTGCATGTATGCCTGCACACCAGAAGAGGACACCAGATCTCATTATAGATGGTGATGAACCACCATGTGGTTGCTGGGAACTGAACTCAGGACCTCTGGAAGAGCAGCCAGTGCTCTTAACCTCTGAGCCATGTCTCTGATCCACTCTCAACACTCTTATCTCCCAAGCTCTCACAGAACATTCCACAGAACTTTTTAAGTTCCAAAGTCCTTCCACAATCCTCTCCAAAACAGGGTCAGGTTTGGCACAGCAATATGCCACAGTCCTGGTACAAACTTGTCTTAGTTAGGGTTTCTATTGCTGGAACAAAACGCCATGACCAAAAAGCAATTTGGGGAGAAAAGGGGTTGTTTGGCTTACACTTCCAGATCTTAGTCCACCTTTGGAGGAAGTCAGGACAGGATCTCAAGCAGGGCAGAATCCTGGAGGCAGGAGCTGATTCGGAGGGCATGGATGGTGCTGCTTACTGGATTACTCCTCATTGCTTGCTCAGCCTGCTTTCTTATAGAACTCAAGACCACCAGCCGAGGGATGACACTACCTATCATGAACCTTCCCCTATTGATCACTAATGGAGAAAATGACTTACAGCTGGATCTCATGTAGTTATTTCCTCAACTGAGGCTCCTTCCTCTCTGATGACTCTAGCTTGTGTCAAGTCGACACAAAGCCAGCCAGTGCATTAACAGTGATGCCCAGTTGACCCCATCGCACCATGGCTCCCTACACTCTGGGCCTCTGATTCCCATTACTCTTCAAAGGCTGACAATGTCACAACCATCCAACCAGGAGTACAAGATCACAGTGAGAGGAAAACAACCAGTGTGGAACACTGTGAGAGGGCAGTGGTAGGGCTCAGAAGACAGTGTGAGCTTCTGGACCCAAAGCTCAGTTATGGCAATAAACAAGAGTGCAATGCAATACTTAAAGAAACCAGGGGATTGAGTTGTGACTCAGGGGGAAAGCCCCTGCCTCGAAAATCCCAGTGAGCGGCTGGAAACTGTCAGGGTGTCTTTGAGGCCCTGGCTCTGTTCCCACCAGTGTTTTTTAAAAAGTGAATAAATAAGTCTAGGCTGGATTCTCTTGTTCTTCATCATTTCAATATTTTGTCCATCTGGGCATGCTTTTTGTTTTGTTTTGGTGTGTGTGTGTGTGTGTGTGTGTGTGTGTGTGTGTGTGTGTGTGTGTGTGTGTGAATTGAATTCAGGGTCCTATGCCCTAATCTTTTATGCTTTTCTTTTTTTTTTTTTTTCATTTTGAGGTGGAGGTTTCCCTGTGTACCTCAGACTGGAGTTAAAGTCATAGAAAGCCCCCTGTTTCAGCCTCCCATGTGCTGGGATGATGGGTGGCAATAGTCATGCCTGAATTTACATTTTTCTTCATCACTTCCTGGCAGGGCCCCAGCTCCTGTCTCTCCCCATTTCTGGGCAAATCCCCCCAGTCCCCAGAAGGCTCAAGGCTCTCTTGGTCCTGAAGGGAGGGGTGTGGCCTGGAGTTCCCAGGGACTCCAGCCTGTCCTGGTGGTTTCCTTGGGTGTTCTGAACAGCTGTCCTGAGAGTGTCCCTGGGGCTGGGGACTATCTGGGGGGTGGCAATTGCTCCCTGTTGTCTGGGGGCCTGACACAGTTTTGGGGAGATGTGGGTGGTGACAGGGCCACCACCCTGCACTGGGACCAGACTCTGGGACAGTGTCCCCTGTGTCTTTCTGTCTCTCTCTCCCTATCTCTCAGTCTCTGTTTCTCTGTCTCTCTCTCTAACTCCCCTCCTCCCCCGGCATATCTGCCCTTGGCCTCATCCACCTTCCTGGGGCTTCCCCATCAGCCGGAAGTAAGGTCACTCAGTGACTTCTCCCTTTTGAGGCCCTCCCCCTGCCCCCACCTCAAGGCCTTTGACACTCATACACAGGCAGTTGGTGAGAGTCGTCTCCTGCCCCACACACTGAGCTACTGAGCTGCACTGGGCAGGTCCTCACCCAGGACCTGGCTCCCTGTGAAGGTCCCTAGCCCTTTGCCCCTTCTCCAGCAAGTCCCTCAACTCAACAGACATGTGCCAGCGGCTCCTCCTGTCACTCGCTCTCTGGGCTAGCTGCTCCCCTGGCAATACAGGGACAGGTAGGTGGGCACGCTGGGGACTGGGGTGCCTGGGCCAACAGGACCAGCCCTTCACTTTCAGACTCAGGTCATATCTCAGGTGGGAACTCACACCTACACTGGTGTGACCCATTCCCATTCCGCTATAAGGATGGGGAAACTGAGGCACAGAGAGGCAAAGCCTCATTTATCCAGGCAGGGTACCCTTGAGCTTAGAGGTTTGTGGAGATACACAGTTGACTCTCAGCAACTGCGAAGTTTCACCTTTGTGACTCAGCTGTGGGTCAGAAACTCTAGGAGATGCTGGGTGTTGATGATACATGCCTGTCATGTGGCATTCAGGAGGCTGAGGCAGGAAGCTTAGGAGTTCAAGGTCATCTGCAGTTATATAGTAAGTTCAAGGCCAGCCTAGGCTACATGAGACCCGCCTAAAAAGAAAAAAAGAAAAGATGGAAGGTGGGGGTGAAAAAGCTCACTTTTCTCATCTAGAAAAATGGGCTCAGTTGAGGCCCTGGGGGTTTGTAGCAGTCTTGGGAACTCAGGCTTGCATGCATAACAGAGACCTGCAAGGCTCCTGGAAGCTCACGCCCCTGTCTCTCCAGCCCTAGCTGCTCTGAGCCAGCCCAGGGTACGATGCCGTGCCTCTCGGTACCCTGTGGCCGTGGACTGCTCCTGGACGCCATTGCGGGCTCCCAACTCCACCAGAGCCATGTCCTTCATCGCCACTTACAGGTCAGAGACTAGAGAGGGGCCTGGACGACACAGGGAACCAACAGATTCCAGTGTACCGCTCCTTCTGTTGTTCTGGACGCTGGGACCCATGGGAGCCTGTGTCCAGAACAACAGAACGAGTGTGGGGTGTGGGTAATCTAGGGAGTTCTTCAGAATGCACACCCCCAGTGTTTCCCTGGGCGTGTCCGGGTCCCATGGTCTGTTGTGAGTGGGCTGGGCCCCTCGGACACCCAGATGCCCTTTGCGATCCCCCACGGTGCTTCCCACAGGCTCGGTATGGACGCCCAGCAGCAGAGCCTGCCCTGCCTACTGCCGACCCCGCAGGCCACACAGTGCACCGTCCCGGACGTACACCTGTTCTCCACAGTGCCCTACGTGTTAAACGTCACTGCGGTGCATCCCGGCGGCGCCAGCAGCAGCCTCCTGGCCTTTGTGGCTGAGCGGATCAGTGAGTGTCTGTCCTGCCGGGTCCCCGCAGAGTCCCTCGTCCTCTATTCCAGCCTCACTGGACTCCCCAATACCCCAGACTCCATCCTGCCCACAGCGTTTGCATGACTTGGTTCCTTAGCCTTCATAGGTCACTTCTCGGGCGTCAGCTCCTCGGTGACCTCCCTCCCCCACGCGCAAACTATATTATTAAACATGTGACATGTGGCAGTTAAGGGAGGACAAAAGCTGAGGGTGGTGTACAGAGCTTTAATCCCAGAGGCAGGCAGATCTCTGGGAGTTCAAGGCCAGCCTGGTCTACAGAGCAAGTTCGAGGTAAGTCAGGTTCAAGAGCCCCAAGACTCTGTCACTAGCAGAAGGGGGGGAGAGAAGGAGAGAGAGAGAGAGAGAGAGAGAGAGAGAGAGAGAGAGAGAGAGAGAGAGGAGAGGTGAAAGCCAGTGAAAGGCTACACTGCCCTCAAAGGGTTAAACAAAGAGTCTCCACAGGATCTGACAACTCCACTCCCAGGTAACTGCTCAACAGAAATAAAAATGTTCATCCCTGCAAGTCCTTGGCAACCTTATTCACAGCACCCAGAAAGGGACAGCCCATGCCACCTGTCCTTCCATGGATGGATGGACACACTGTCTATCTACACAGCAGAACACCACTCAGCCCTGAACAATGAGGCTCTGCTGCCAACTACAGTGTGGAGGGACCTTGGGGACACTGCTCAGTGAGCAGCCCAGACACCAACCACACAGCGAGGGCTCCAGGACAGGGGATCCACAGACAGAAGGAGATCTGTGGGTGCTGAGGGCCGGGACGGGTAGGGAGATGGCTCATAGGTATAGAGATTGTTTGGGCATGAAGCAGCATTCTAGAGGCAGGCAGAGAAATAGTAACACTCTCTGACGATGCACCCATGTCCTCCAGCAGGCTGGTGCTATAAAATGGTGTCTCAGAAAAGCCCTTCAGCCCACTCAGGACTTGCACTCTGAAACCTTCTCTTTGTCACGACTTCTGTCAGTCATGATGATCGCGATGCAACAAATGCTTGTTCCTTGGGCAGATGGGTGAACGAACGAATGAATGAATGAATGAATGAATGAATGAATGGCATAAGTACATAATGAACTCATGAATGACTTAATGAATGAACGATACAGTGAATGAGTGAAGAGCCTAAAGAGGGAGGAAATGTATACCTGAATGACTTAATGGTGCAGTAAAACAATGAATAAGTGTACAAATGAACAAGTGAAGAAACTAATGGGTTCAATGAGTGAATGACAGTGACCGCGTTAATGAATCCAATGACTACACCTGCACGTGAACCAAAAGATACATAAATGTGAGTGAGCAGGTGACTAAGCAAATTAAGGAATTAGTCCAGGATTGAACGAGCAAGTGAAGCAATGGACTGATGGTATGAATGGGTGAGTAAAAGACCGCAAATGCATGAATAGGCGAGAGCGAATGTATGATTGAATGAAGGAGAGAACCAGTGCCTGATGATGAACCAGCGAGCGGAGCCGGTCCTGACCCCGCCCCTGCTCCCCGCAGTCAAGCCCGACCCCCCGGAAAGCGTGCGCCTGCGAGCAGCCGGGCAGCAGCTGCAGGTGCTCTGGCATCCCCCTGCCTCCTGGCCCTTCCCGGACATCTTCTCTCTCAAGTACCGCGTCCGCTACCGGCGCCATGGAGCCTCTCACTTCCGCCAGGTGAGAGGGGGCTGGGAGAGACTGAGACGGGATCCCCAGTCTCCACCTCCCGCCTCTGTGGGAGCGCTGAGATCACACTCTGCAGCTGGCTTACCTGCATGCAAGCGCCTTACCCAGCAGGCGGGCTCCTACCCACCGCCTTCTCTCTTCCCACAGGTGGGACCCATTGAAGCCACGACCTTCACCCTCAGAACCACGAAGCCCCACGCCAAGTACTGCATCCAGGTGTCAGCCCAGGACCTCACCGACTATGGGAAACCAAGTGACTGGAGCCTCCCTGGGCAAGCAGAGAGGACGCCCCAGAAGCCCTGAAGAGGGACTAGGTCCTTGATAGCAGACCTTCGTGTGCAGCCTTAGATAATTGACTTCACCTCTCTGGACAATTTCCAAACCTGTGGGGATAGTATTTCTCCTTCCATAGGTGCCGGGCTTTGTGAACTGTAAATATGATTCGATTAGAAATTTTTAACAAATAAGAATTCTTAGTCCGACAGTGGTGGAGCACGCCTTTAATCTCAGCACTTGGGAGGCAAAGGCAGGAGGATCTCTGTGAGTTCGAGGCCAGTCTGGTCTACAAGAGCGAGTGCCAGGGCTACACAGAGAAACCCTGTCTCGAAAACCCAAAACCAAACAAAACAAAATTATCATCATTATGGGAGGGGGGGCATTCGAGACAGGACTTCTTTGTTTAGCCTGGCTGTGCTACACCAGGTTGGTCTCAAACTCACAGACATCCTCCTGTCTCAGCCTCCCGAGGGCTGGGACTAAAGACATATGCCACCACCGCCCGACAATAATTAAAAGTGTCTATTTTTAAACTTTAAATATTTTAATTTCATTTTCAAGTATGTGTGTGAGCAGGGGGAGTGGGTGTTTCAGTGCCCACAGCAGCCAGAAGAGGGCGCCAGAGCCCTGAAGCTGGTGTGGCCTGTGCTCTGTCTGGAGCACTGAGCCAGCACTCCAGCCTCTCGTTCATCTTGTCCCATGAGTGAGCAACGTGGTGGGTTGTCTGTGCTCGAGTGCCCACGACCCCCAAACAAGGCCTTTATGAGGAAAAGAAGTTGATGTGGCTCAATGTTCAGGAGCTGGGATGACCCAGCACAGTGTTAGCTTCCAAAAGGAATTCCACGTGGTACGATGCCTAAGGGTGGAAGGATCAGGCAACACAAGGTTGGGAGGAAGGGAGGGGATAAAGCAAGCTGTGTGTAAGGCCCGGATTCCCATCACAGGCCCTGCAAAAGAAAAGGTGGGGGGGGCGGGGTTACCAATAGATGAATGTTGGGACACACACAACAACCATAATAGCACCTGCTTCCCCAAGTGAGAGCCAAACAGGATGCAGCCCAGCCTTTGTCGAAATGAGGACAGAGGAAAAGAATAGTGGGAAGTTAAAGGCCAGCCTGGGAGACCCTGTTTCAAAAAGAATAAGCAGAGGAGGAGGGTAGGGGGCTGACTCGGGGGTGGAGGTCCTCCCTAGGATCCCCAGGTGAGGGGCTGGGGGCGGGGACTTGCCAAAGTTTGTATGTGCAAACAATAAATAAGCAAATGTAAAAACCAGTCTAAGCCTGGCACGGTGACACACGCCTTAATCCCAGAACTCAAGAGGCAGAGGCAGGCGGATCTCTGAGATTTCAAGGACAGCCTGGACTACGCAGTGAGTTCCTGTCTCACAAAAAAGAAAAAACACAAACCAACAACAAAACGTAATGAAAACCAGGCAGGTCACTGATTTCCAGCTACTCAAGAGACTTGCAGAATGATTGCTGCAAGTTTAAGGCCAACCTGGGCTACAGAGAGCTCCTCCTCTCTGGGCGTTTTACAGAGAGGCTGTCAAAAGGTTAGAGGGCTGGGTAGTGGCTCAGGGGTAGCGGGTCTGCCTGGCATGTGCAAAGACCCTGTGTTCAATCCCCAGCACCAGAAATGAAGGAACGAAGAAACAACAGAGCGGGGCAAGGTGGCCACATCTCTAATCCCAGCACTCGGAAGGCAGAGACAGGAGGATCTCTGTGAGTTCGTAACCAACCTGGGCTACATGGTGAGTTCCCGGACAGCCAGGGCTACCCAGTGAGACCCTGACTCAAAAACAAACAACATCAATAGAGCAGCAGTGCGGAACAAAATCTGATGGACTCCCTGCAGCTTTCTCGGCGCACACTCACACAAGCGATCCAGAGGCTCCCGGAACCTTTATTTACTGCCTCACCTACGGGCACTCAGGAAGGAACCCAAAGAGCACACGCGACCTTGATCGACAGAGATACCAGCCAAAGGGAATGCTACAGCCAGGAAGACGGCCGAGGAAGTGACGTCCAGAGAGCGGCAGCGCCGGTTCGGATAAACTCCGAGAGGACCAGAGCGAGCAGCTTCTTCGCTTGTGCGACCGGCAGGAGGCGAACATGTCGGAGCGGAAAGTTCTAAACGTAAGTGCTCAGAGTCTAGACGCTTCTGCCGAGAGTGAGGCGCCCCAGAGCTCCGGGGGAGGCTCGCTCCCTTCCAGTTATTTCCTCTCGGAATTTCTCCCCCACGACGGGTTTCCGTGGGGCGGAGCTTGCCAAGTCTCTTGCCAATGACATTCTTAGGGGCGGTGTTAGCTTATGTTTCCCTTCCGGCTTAGAAGACCACGGTCACCAGGGGAGCCGATTGGGTTTCCTAAAGGAAACTATCCAATCGCTTTTTCTGCGGCGGAGGGGTGGGGGGGTGCTGTTGGTGACCTCAGTTCGTCCCAGTTTTTGTTAAGCGGATATCAGACGTCTCCTGGCCGCATTCTCTACATCCCAGTTTTAGTGGCTGGGATGCAAGGACTCAGCCTCCTCTCTTGAAAAACTTTACTCTCCATTTCCTGGATTTGTGTGTGTGTGTGCGTTTGTTTTGAGCCAGTGTCTCACTATATAACCCAGAGTGGCCTCAGGTTCAGACCCACCTGCCTGAGCCTCCAAACTGCTGGGATTAGAGGCGTGTACCCCTACCTGGGCTATATTCATTTTAAAAAGATTTACCTAGTTCTTTTGTTTGTTTTTTTGTTTTGTTTTTCGAGACAGGGTTTCTCTGTGGCTTTGGAGGCTGTCCTGGAACTAGCTCTTGTAGACCAGGCTGGCCTCAAATTCACGGACATCTGCCTGCCTCTGCCGCCCGAGTGCTGGGATTAAAGGTGTGCGCCACCAACGCCCAGCCTAAGTTTTACCTAGTTTTTAAATTTGTTTATTATATACACAGCATTCTGCCTGCATGTAGGTCTGCAGGTCAGAAGAGGGCACCAGATGGTTGTGAGCCACCATGTGGTTGCTGGGAATTGAACTCAGGACCCCTGGAAGAGCAGCCAGTGCTCCTAATCTCTGAGCCATCTCTCCAACCCAGGTTTACCTATTTTCTTTCTTTTCTGTTTTGGTTTTTCGAGACAGGGTTTCTCTGTGGCTTTGGAGCCTATCCTGGAACTTGCTCTTGTAGACCAGGCTGGCCTAGAACTCAGAGATCTTCCTGCCTCTTGCCTCCCAAGTGCTGGGATTAAAGGCGTGCACCACCAACGTCCGGCCCCAGGTTTACCTATTTTTATTTTATATTTTGCCTGCATGTATGCAGCACCCTGCCTGTACTGGTATGAGGCATACACCACCATGCCAGCATCCTCCTGAAATCTTGGCAGAACTTCCGTCAAGCAAGGGAGACATCCCCCTCCCCTGTGGGTCTGGCTGCCAGCAGGTGTCCAAAGCAGAGTGCCTCCTTGATGATGGTCCACACAGTTTCTTTTCTTTTCTTTTTTCTTTTTTCTTTTTTTTTTTTTTTGTTTTTTTGTTTGTTTGTTTGTTTGTTTTGTTTTTCGAGACAGGGTTTCTCTGTGTAGCTTTGGAGCCTATTCTGACACTCTAGATCTGGAGACCAGGCTGGCCTCGAACTCACAGAGATCCGCCTGCCCCTACCTCCCGAGTGCTGGGATCAAAGGCGTGTGCCACCAACCCACGGCCACACAGTTTCTTTTTGGCTTTTTTTGCGGGGGAGATTGTCATTCTCCACCCCCCTGTATCACACTCCCAGGTACTGGGATGGTGGGTGTGAGCATTAGCATGCTCTCTGTAAGCCAAGTGACTGTGCCTGTGTGTCTCACCCCAGCCTCACAAGTGCAAAGAGAGGAGATTCACTGGCCGTATTTTACCCTGGGATGGTGTCCTAGAGCCTATGTGGCTCCCTAGTCCAGGCTAGACCTTCATCGACAATGCCTGGTTTATGTTGGGCTCCAGTTATCTCGTGAGCATCTAGAGTCTTATCCTGTACTGGGCAGAAAGGGTCCACCCCTACTGCAAATCCTGGGCCTCTAGAACCTTACCGGGTGGCATATCACAGCTCAGGGAAGCAGCATGCACACATCCTGTGATTTGTCTGGAAGAAGGTTCTTGAAGCTTGTGCACTCCTCCCTGTCCCAACTTTTCTTCTCATGGTTGTCCTTCAAACAGCCCATGTCTGGAAAGGCTTGAGCAGGATGAATCCTGGGCAGATCCCTAAAACTGGAGTATCTTTGGTCCCTGGTATGGCTCCCAGATCCCCTTTCTGCCCATTTGGGACCTGAGTACAGGAAAACAGCAGCACCCTCTTCCCCTACAGAAATACTACCCACCTGACTTCGATCCGTCAAAGATCCCGAAACTCAAGCTACCCAAGGACCGGCAATATGTGGTTCGATTGATGGCCCCCTTCAACATGAGGTGAATCCCCAAGGGTGTGAGGCCAGGACTGGAGTCTGTGGAGAAACAGCAAACAAGGATGAAATCCCCATGGAGTCCCCAGCCCCCTATCAGAAGGCCTCAATGGAGAGTCAGAATGACACTTGGTCCTGCAGATTTTTGTCCCTCCAGTGGCAGCCCTCCTCCTGCCCCAGGGTCTTTGCACCAGCCATGGCCTCTGCCAGGAGTTGTCATGTCAGTGGTTCCTCTGCACAGAGCCCGGCTCACATCCCACTCAAACAGGCTGCTAGCCTCCTCCATAAACATCCATCCCACCCTTCCCTTGCTTTCATGGGTTTCTCCAACTTTGAATCAAACAACCATTCACACTTGATTTTTGTTTGTTTGTTTGTTTGTTTTTGTTTTTCAAGACAGAATTTCTCTGTGGCTTTGGAGGCTCTCCTGGAATTAGCTCTTATAGACCAGGCTGGTCTCAAACACACAGAGTGCTGGGATTAAAGGTGTGTGCCACCACCACCCAGCTCACACTTGATTTTATGTGAGAATCACACTCCTGTTAATCACAGCCTTGTGGTCATTGAGGATGGAGAGGCTGTCTATATTGACTGGTTAATTGTTTATCATCTTCATTCCTCCCTTTGCCTTAATCACCGTGAACACAGGAACTCTTAGAAGAGAAAGCACTTAGTTGGTACTGGTTTACAGTTATAGAGGCTTAGTGCATTGTCATGGTGGGGAGCGTGGCAGCAGGCATGATGTTAGAGAAGCAGTTGGAAGCTTTATCCTGATCCACAGGCAGAAAGAGACAGAAACAGAGACAGAGAGAGAGACGCTGGGCCAGCTGTGGACCTTTGAAACCTCATAGCCCAGCCCCAGTGACACACTTCCTCCAGCAGGGCCACACCCCCTAATCCTTCTAATCCTTCCATGTAGTGCCACTCCCTGGTGACTAAGCCTTCCAGTGTATGACCCTGTAGAGGTCCTTCTTATTCCAGCTACCACACTCCTCCCGCAAGCAGCTGTCACATACCTGCTGTTGGTTCAGGACACAGCTCCCAGTCTCATGGTGTTCACAGACTGGGGTGGAGTGGGAATGCTGCCCATCCTCTTGTAGTCACACGAGGACACATGAGGTAGGGCAGTGTTAGAATCTCAGGCTGTGGGATCTGCAGAACAAACGCACTAAGGGAGGACCAAGCCAGAGGTGATTGTCAGCACCACAGAAAGTGAAGAGGATCCTGCTGTCACCTGTTTGGGGTCTCAGAAGCCCCACACACCCAGGCAGGGCAGTCCTCCCCATCCCTGGAGATGCAGATGCTGTGGTCGGGGCCGGAGCAGAGTGCAGAGATGCTCACATGCTGCCCTGGCTGCAGGTGTAAGACATGTGGGGAATACATCTACAAGGGGAAGAAGTTCAATGCCCGCAAAGAAACCGTCCAGAACGAGGCCTACCTGGGTCTGCCTATCTTCCGCTTCTATATCAAGTGCACGCGCTGCTTGGCCGAGATCACCTTCAAGGTAGGGGCTGCCTTCACTCATTCACAACCTTTCCCTCTGAGGACACCCCACACAGGTACAGAGGAACGTGCTTGCAGCAAGACCCCACACACAGAAAAGTCTGTCCACCTGCGTGTGTGCAGGGTGTGAGATGGGTGGCTATGGGTTGGTTTTGTTTTTTTTTTTTTTCACTGTAAGCTTTTTTCCTGTAAGTTCAAAAAGAAAAGATTTAATTAAAGTGAACAAAACATAAGCTTTCTTCAAGTAACTACTTCAGTTACTTTTTTTTTTTTTTTTTTTTTTTTTTTTTTTTTTTTTTTTTTGGCTTTTTGAGACAGGGTTTCTCTGGCTTTGGAGGCTGTCCTGGAACTATCTCTGTAGACCAGGATTGTCTCGAACTTTTAGATCTGCCTGCCTCTGCCTCCCAAGTGCTGGGATTAAAGGTGTGCGCCGATTTAATTAAAGTGAACAAAACATAAGCTTTCTTCAAGTAACTACTTCAGTTACTTTTTTTTTTTTTTTTTTTTTTTTTTTTTTTTTTTTTTTT